AAATGAGCATGTTAGATTAGATACAAGGTCTAAGGTCTATTTCACCACTGATACCAAGTGTCTAGTACAGTGCCTGACATGGAAACTGAGGTGAATGGCAGACACAGTCCCTGCCCTCATGGTACGTACAGTCTAATAGGGGCAGAGACTGTAAAGAGTTAATAAATATAAAATTACAACTCTTGGTAAATGGCAGGATGGATTTAATGGAATAGATGCAATGATGGAGAAAAACAGGGAGATGTGAATTTGGAGATCTCTTAATTTATAAAAGAGGTCAAAGAATGAGAAGTAACTAGTCGTATAAATAAATAAGAGGGGCAAGAATATTTGAGGTGCAGAGAACAGGGTATGCAGAGACTCCGAAGTAGGAAAGAACTTAATGTTTAAGGAACCAACAGTAAGCCATGGGGGCTGAAGGAAAATATGTAAAGAGAAGATACGTATTTGTGATATATTTACAAGGTAAAAACTATCACCCAGAAAATTGTCAGTTGCTATCAGTGGCTCTACGTGTTTAAGGTATCAGCCAAAGATTTGGTAGTGTGACATTTCTAGTTAGTCCAGACTCATGGTGGCAATAGGGAAGGTAATTTGTTGTTTTTTTTTTTAAGTTGTTCTTTCTTTTTTTTTTTTTGCACACAAGCAATGGGAAGGGCCTAAGAGCCCACTGCCTTATTCCTAGTGTTAAATGGTAGTAGCCTGCAATGTCTGGCAGTTGGAAATTAGTAAGAGGGATAATTGATACCCTCAAAAGCTTGCCTAACTGAGCTTTGTGCAGTGTATTTTGGGAGTTCACCAGCAAAGTTTGCGTGTTGACACAGATGGTGATACATGCTGAGACTTGTTTGGACTGACGATTTAGTAGCTTGGTAGGGCATGGAAACAACACAGCTCTCCCTTTTCACCAGAGGCTTTTATATGCTAGGTACCTCATAACTTAGTGCTCTCTCCATCTCTCCCTACTCACAGAAAGTCATTTGCTTTTAGTCCCTTCTGTATTCTACTGGCAGACTAATCTTCAAACACAATTTTGATCATGTCTTTGCCCACCCGTGAGCCTACAATAACTCCCCTTTGGTTGTTGTATCAAATTCAGAATTTATAGTTGAATTCAAAGCTTCTAATGATCTCCAACCTTTTCTCCTTTTAAGCACCTCCCCACCACCCTCAGTAAGCTTTCTCTCTCCAGCCCAGGCTGGTGTTTTCTTGGCATGCTGTAGTGGGAAAGTCAAATGACTGTAGACAATGCGCGCAACCCCTCTAGATAATCACCAGTAACTTTTCCCATTCTACTATCTAGAGACTTTCTGCCTTTATTCATTTCTACCAAGGGTGTTCTTAATTGTCTCATGCTTCTATGTCTTCTCAGTGTTCTTTAAAACTCTAGGATCAGGGACCTAGTCTGTAGATCTTGTTGATCAGATCCAGGGCTGGATACTTAACTGTGCTTCAGTACAAAGAGCAATAGATTTTGAGTCAGGCTGATCCAGGTTTGAATGACAGTGCTCTCACTTACTAGTTTATGACCTTGGGAGGGTTACTTAACCTTTCTGAGCCTTATGTTTTTTATTTTTAGCCTTCTGCATTGGTTTCCTCCTGTTCCAAGATGTGGTGACATGAAGGAAGTGCAGTATCATAGCAGACATTCTTTGGGGAATTTTGGAACAAGCAATTGTAGTCGCCACCAGGGTTACTGTTTTCCTCCTTCTGAATTTAAACTGGGTGATAGAATTGGAATGAGGGGAAAAAAGTTCTGGCAGAAATGAGCCTGGGAGGGAGTGTTGTTCTCTAGAAATGTGCCTGAACCTTAGAGAAAAATGATCTGTTTTGTAGAAAATGACTAATAAGCCAGTATGCTCTTGGCTGTCTAAATTTGATTTCTCTAACAAACAGTATCTAAGGTGTTCAGTGAAAGTATCTAACCTTCAAAAATCAATCTCATTCAAAAAACAGTGAACTGTACCCAAAAGTACATTTGACTTTTGGATAGTAATTCAGAGTCATAAGTTTTTCCAATAATCCAGTTGTGTGAGTCATGATTTTATTCTTCACTTTCTCCATCCTCTCCACCTCCCCATGCCTTTGTGTGCTTGGGAAAATGAGACATGCAGAAATGGTTTGATATGGTGAGATTCACACCTTAGGTCTTTGTTAAGAATTTAGAGTCAGGTGACTTTGGTTGAACTTCCAGCTCTCCTGCCTCACACTAGGCAAGTTATTTTACTTCTCTGAGTCTGTTTCATCCACTATAAGTGAGATAATTTTTGTGACAGCCCAAGTGCAATGGCTGGTTCATAGTGGGCAATCAGTGACTCTTGGTTTCCTTTCCAAAGACTTCCAAATTTCCATTCCTAGCATTGTTTTATTTACCTTATATTATGCGTAAGAAATATATGAGATATTTTTAAACACACAGTGTCTTATACCCAGAATCATCACAGAGCCAGTCAAAAAGAAAAACATTCAAATTGCTCACGTTCAGCAAGTCAATTTGGTTTGAGGGTAGCATAGATATTTGAGTTAGCATTAAGTGTAAGAGTTAAGATTGCCAGTAATTTCCAGGTTATACAACTCTTCACCTACTTCTTCGTCATGTTTTCATTTCTAAATCTCACCTGTATCCTAATTACACATTTACCTTTGCTCTGAGGTAGGATTTCTGCCAGTATATTAAGGGATCAAAGCTTTCTGTAATAAATGACATCATCTCTTATGGGGTAATTGATTGCCAATGTGAGCACTCACTCACTTACTCACTCTGTGGTACTTAATGTAATGAATTTCAATTGACAGATCCTCATCTGAAATTAGGGGATCTGTTCAAAGTGACATCTCTCAGCATGGCTGTGCCCCTGAATGGGCTTAGGAGCAGTTGAGCTTTAGGAACAACAGAAACCAGTAATTTGAATGCCTCCATGATTCTGTTTTTCTCTTCAGAGCACATCTGATTTACCCATATCACTTTGTTTGTAGATTGGCCACTTCATCCTTTTGATCCATGTGGCAAAGGGTTCCTAGTCCAAAATAGTGGAGGAGACACAGCAATAAAGCTTGTATCAGATGCCCATCCTGGCTCAGTCAGCTGTAACTAGGAGAATGTGATCATGTAAAGACATGGTAGCTCCTTCAAGAATTATATGGATGAAGTGGGGCACTGAGCATAGAGTTCCAGAGATGCCCACACACCCATCCTACCATCCTGCCATCCTAGGCTGTGGGATCTTAGCTGGGAATACAAACAGGTATTCCTGAACTGAGGTTGCTTGCAGCCAAATGATGGCAGATGGATGTGCAATCAAATAAGGCAATAGGGTGATGTTGGTGCTGTAATAATGGATGTTTAAGTTAGAGAGGAGTAAAGAATAGGTGATCAGTTAGCTTAGCTCAGACACAACCAGCTTCTGCTGCAGGGATGGCTATACAACTAGACACATTGCAGGCTTTCTGGAAATACTTGTCAGTTGAATTATTGTTAGGTATTCTGGGGACTAGGGATAGACTTGGCATTTTCTGAGTATAAACATCATATGCTTTTTCATTGAGACCTCTTCATCAGAATGCCTTTTTGAGTTATTCATTGAGTTATCGTCAAAGAAAGAAAGAAGGCCACCTTGAAGTTTTTTGAGTTTCATGCACTTGTGTTGTGTCTTAGAGATTTCAGATGATCTGAACATTAGTTCCTTTTGATAGCTCTCTAAACTGGTATCAAAAGACCTCTGAAAAGACCAATTCATCAACTTGTTTTACAACTCTGGTGGCCTGGAACTAAACTACTTGTTAATCACAAATTTCTTGCTTGTAAATTGAAGACATACTGTTGTTCCTTGTCATGGAGCCTGAGACCTTTGCAACAGTCCTCCACCCTTTGCTATTGTGGTGACCTGCAGTGTGTCCATAATGTTTATCATCCTTCATTTTGGTCTTTTTTCAGGCAGAGCAAACTGATCCTTTTTTCCATCTTCTATTACATTGGGTCAGCTTTCTGCATCTTATTCCACAAATTCACATCCTTGAAGCTTGAATGCATCAGGCTAAGCACAATTTGCTCAATATCATCTTGACTTTACCTTTCACACCCATATTTTACTAAGGCTTTTCATTGTCCTTAATCTCTTCTTTCTACCCTTGCTTGTCCTTACTTTTATTTTCTGATTAAACTTTTTATTTTTAGATAATTGTGATTACACATGTAGTTATAAGAATTAATATAGAGGGGCCAGCCCGGTGGCGCAGTAGTTAAGTTCGCACGTTCTGCTTCTCGGTGGTCCAGGGTTCACCGGTTCAGATCCCAGGTGTGGACATGGCACATCTTGGCAAAAGCCTTGCTGTGGTAAGCATCCCACGTATAAAGTAGAGGAAGATGGGCATGGATGTTAGCTCAGGGCCAGTCTTCCTCAGCAAAAAGAGGAGGATTGGCAGTAATTAGCTCAGGGCTAATCTTCCTCACACACCAAAGAAGAATTAATATAGAGATGCCCTATACCCTTTACCAAGTCTCCCCCAATAGTAACATCATCCTGTAAAACTATTGTACAGTATTGTAACCCAGATATGGGCATTGCCCATAGATAGAGATAGAGAACAATTGCCCTACCATTTTGACTTTTTGGTTCCTTCTAATTATTCTTTTCCTTACTCATTTCTTAGACTCTTCTCTCCTCGCTCTTCTCACTTATATATTTAATGTCCCAAGGATTTAACTGAGTCAAGCATCCTGCAAGACTTATCTTCTCTTTGACAGGTTGGCTAAATTCTCATGTTGTCAGAGTTTCTAAGAATAGCAACTTCCGTTCTTCTTTAAATTATTTGCCTGGAATAAATATTATTTGGATGGCTCAAGGTGGCCTCAAAATTTATGTGAGGGCCTGGTCTGCTGTGATTTCTGCTTGACTTAATTTCAGGCGGGTCACATGAAGGTGAAGAATGTATGGGGGCTGGTGTGGTACTAATCCTTTGAGACTTAAGAGCCCTAATCAAAGTCACTTTTTCCCCCAAAGGACAGTTCTGCACAGAGGATGTAGACGAATGCTTGCTGCAACCCAATGCATGTCAGAATGGGGGCACCTGTACCAACCGCAATGGGGGCTATGGCTGTGTATGTGTTAACGGCTGGAGCGGAGATGACTGCAGTGAGAACATTGATGACTGTGCCTTCGCCTCCTGCACTCCGGGCTCCACCTGCATTGACCGAGTGGCTTCCTTCTCTTGCATGTGCCCAGAAGGAAAGGCAGGTAAGGCCAGTAGAAGAACAGAGCTGGAGATCAGGGAAGGGACGGGTGAGCATTCAGAATTTCTGCCTTCTCTTCATCCTGATCACTGTGTCCTTTTAATTACCATCTGTAGGAACATGTTGCTTAATGCTGTTCTGGAAATGTAATCACTAGCCAAAGTGTTATAAAGTTAGTCTTCTTCCTTAGAACTTCTTGTTCTCGTCTCAACTCTGTGCACCTCAGTGTTTCATCCTGCAAAATGAAAGTTAGTTAACTATTGCCTTGGGAGCATCTGTTGACTTCTTTAAGATATTAGGCTGAAAGGCACCTCAGAAATTAAGATTAATTTTTCAGAAATTAAGACAGAATTACTAATAAATGGATTTGGGGACTTCATTTTAAGAAGAAATAATACATTTACTCAGAAGGAGTTGGCAGAAGAGAAGCACTTAAGTGCATTCCACCTCTCCATGTCTATGGAAATACTCCTTTAAAGGATAATTTTTACCAACTGCGAAGTTAACATTGCTCTAGCCTCTCAGTTTTAACAGCTTCTAGTTCTAGGAGTAGAGAGCAATGAAGGGAGGAATGTGATGGAAGAAGATAGCTTAGTTGAGAGAACTTTGTGCCCAGCAGTTTTGAAATGTTCTCATATCTATGTCTTTCCAAAAACCCCACCTCCAGCTTTGTAGAAGAAGCCTTACTTACCTGTTCTTAAGCTAATTGCAGCCTGGAAAATCCAGTTCCCATGTGAACTACGCAGAATATTGAGCCTAGTAATAACTTCAGAGTCCTGGGAGCATTTGAGCCTGGAATGTTGACACTATTAAAAGGTTGCCTTAGTACAGGCTAATGATGTTGAGCAGTTTTTTTATTCTGAGGCTAGTGAAATGTTTTTGGCCCCGTGATCATCAGGTAGCATGATTTTAGGAAAGCAGGTTGCCAAATAAAATACAGGATGCATACAATGTTTGGGACTTATAGTAAAAATTATTTACTATTTATTTGAAACTCAAATTGAACTGGGCATCTTCTGTTTTTACTTGCTAAATCTGGCAGCTCTATTTGAAGGAGATCTCCATTTTCCTGTCTCCATCTTCCTGTCTCCATCATCTAACCGTCTCACTTTCTGGACAACTCTCCCCTTTAGGAGAGGTCTAGCAGAGGGCTCAGGGGCAGAGCACTAGGGTTGTTGCAGAAGCCCCTCGCTTTGCTGATGGCTGCAGTGTGTCCCTAAGATTGCGTCAGACAAAAGGGAGAGTTGCTGCTCAATCTCCATACTGGATTTTGATAAGTCCATCACAAGGTTTCCCCTCCTTCTTTAAAGAGAAAACTTCCCCAAGTAAGTGACCTTTTCTCTTTGTTCTCATTGTGTCCCCCCCACTGCTCCCCAGGTCTCCTATGCCACCTGGATGATGCATGCATCAGCAATCCTTGCCACAAGGGGGCACTGTGTGATACCAACCCCCTGAATGGGCAGTATATCTGCACCTGCCCACAAGGCTACAAAGGGGCTGACTGTACAGAAGATGTGGATGAGTGTGCCATGGGTGAGTATATGGAACTTTTCCTCTTCCTCATGGTGTCTGTCGAGCTCGGCAAGCATTTAAACTGAAGCACGTTTTACTGTAGGGCCATATTTCACCCAAACCTCAGATCTCTCCTGTCACATGCCTGCTGTTTACAACTCACCTGTCAGTTTAACCATATATTCTCTTCTGGGAATTGAAATATATGGAAGATTTGTCCTTGGTTATCAATAGAAAGCCCTGCTTTAGTGACAGTTGGGGCAAAAGAACAGCAGAGACGTGCAAGAATTGAGATTGCCCTAGTCTGTCTTATTTCTTTATTTTTTTTAAGGAAGGATATGGAAATTGAGAACCAGATTATTAAAGGCCTAGCCCTCATGCTGTAGCAGTCAGATGTGCTTCTGTAGTCCACATTTGTGGAAACTCCATCAAGTGCTTTGATCCCGGTAATTGGTGCTTGTGTCTTCCAGCCAATAGCAATCCTTGTGAGCATGCAGGAAAATGCGTGAACACAGATGGCGCCTTCCACTGTGAGTGCCTGAAGGGTTATGCAGGGCCTCGTTGTGAGATGGACATCAACGAGTGCCATTCTGACCCCTGCCAGAATGATGCCACCTGTCTGGATAAGATTGGAGGCTTCACATGTTTGTGCATGCCAGGTACATGGGCCCATCAGTGTGTGGGGTCTATACAGGGGGCGCTGCACTGTGCTTCTCTTAGGTGGAGCACTCAGTGTAGTGTGTCAATTCCATGAGCTCTGTTAGCATTTAATTCCCAATAATGACAGGGTTCCCAGCCAAGGGGACCCTTAAGGAGTAAGGCTGTGGTAGAATTCTTAGAGCTATAGAGACCAAATTAAATAAGCCCTCAGCATCATTTACATGTAAGAGAAGAATTCAAAAGTGATTGTTTTTGTGCAAATATTCTTTGATTAATACACGATTTACCACATGAATCCTGTAAACAGTAAGCTTTCCTCATCCCCTGATATATTACAAACACCATACCATTCCATTTATAGAAATTCATTTTACAGATAATTGTAAAAGAACTTGCCATTCATTCATAGTGATGTACACATGCTTTGTTATATTCTGGAGCTCTTCTGCAAAGACTGTTTCTTGAGTCCTCAGAGAGCACAGCCAAATCCAACTTAAAATGTCAGCAGACAGTGGCTGCTTTGCCTGGTTAAGGATGCTAGCCATCTAGCTTTGGGAGGCCCCCCGACCTTCACCTGCACCCTGAGAACAACAGCATCTCCACCTCAGCTGGTCTTCAGGAACATGGAGTGGAGATCCTGAACATGAGTGGCCTGAGACTGTTCTGAAAGCAATGCCTGGACTGGTCAGAGAATGTGGGACAGTCTTTGTTGGCATGCCAGGTCTTACCTGTCTACTTACTTGTCTTTGAAGGTAACCTCTTCCCGCTCTTCACAGTGACGTGGATATCCCTGTCTAATGCTAAGTCTCTTTCCCATCATGGCAGAGTTCCCTTTGCCCTCTGCAGAAATGTTGATTCTCATAGAGGATGTAGTCATTTTTGCCAGTTTGTACTTTCTTGGCTAGAATATGCCTTTCTCTCTTTCTAAGCCACTTGTGTGGTCTGTTTTGTTCAGGTTTCAAAGGTGTGCATTGTGAATTGGAGATAAACGAATGTCAAAGCAACCCTTGTGTGAACAATGGGCAGTGTGTGGATAAAGTCAATCGCTTCCAGTGTCTGTGTCCGCCTGGTAAGTGCCCACCACCTGCCCCTGTTTTCTTTGAAAGCATAAAGCTGACTGACCTCAGGGAAGGGAGGAGGGAGAGAATGTGTGTGGGCTGTACATAAGGAAGTCATTAAAGTGAGCACTTTGGAATAGGAGTGTGTGTGTACAGAAATGAAGAATTTGTTTCAGCTAATATATCTTCCAAATCCTTTGTGGCCAAAAGTCCAAGTCTGTTCTGAATGGCCCATGACCTCTCTGTCTGTGTGTATATTTCAGAAAGTTCATACCTCACAGAAGCCTTCCTTGTAGGCTACTCAGAATTTTATGTTTTTCCCTTGGGTCATATTCTTGAAGCCCCTCTGTGAGATGATTATTTTTAGATAGTTCACCCATCGATCCAGAAACAAGTCAATTTTTTCCAGAGAACACTCTGTCTCACCTTTTGCTCCCCAAAGCTGTCGTTGAAGACATGCCAAATTTTCTGCCATAGACTATGGCCTCTTTTGTTGTTTCTTCGGAGGGAAGGTCCTAGTTCCTCTGAAGCTGCACTCACTTGTTTGAAGGCTCTACCTGTAATCATTCAGTCATTAACTACAAGTGAAATCTGTGCTGGGAAGAAACAGATGTAGAGACACACACAGGTGCCTCTGATGCACTGAGCTTCACCCAGTTATTCCAGTAACCTGTTAGGGACAATAATTTTACATTTGCTGACTCATTGATATTAAGCCCTGCCAGTAACTTAACCCAACTCTTTATGGGCATCATTCTCATAATAAAGGAAGACATAGGATAATCCTTTGACTTGTATCATCACCGTGCCCTTTTAAGGTTTCACTGGACCAGTTTGCCAGATTGATATTGATGACTGTTCCAGTACTCCGTGTCTGAATGGGGCAAAGTGTATTGATCACCCGAATGGCTATGAATGCCAGTGTGCCACAGGTAAGATTTTTCTCACTTTTTATTCCCCTGGTAGGTCTACCTGAACAAAATAGGAGACTCTCCTCTTCTAGCTGCCCTACCAGGTCAGTCCACTAACAGGGGCTGCTCTGTGTTTAGCGTCTTCTGGCAAATTTTTTTGCTGCTCTCACTGTTTCCTTCTATGACACCTGCCTCGTTCTCCACAATAGTGGCCTGGCCTGGACATTTCCATTTGGTGTCCATGTCTTTCTGGGACAGATTTTGGCAGCGGTGAGTTTCCAGCTGGCTTGACTTACTCTTTTGGGAAATAAAAGAATTCCAATTGAAAGCTATTTTTCACTGAGGCTTCTCAGCAGGAGGCCTGTCTGTGTTTCTTGAGGCAAGTGATTGAACAAAGGCCCAGAAGTCTAAGGGCGATTGTGTGGAAGTGCAGAGGTTTTCTGCATGAAAGACGACTCACGGTATGAGAGTCAGGTGTGTATCTGAACAGGCGAGGGAGCTCTGTTTGGGAAAGTCCTCTTTCCTGACTTCTGCTACTAGAACCAAAAAGAATCTGTTTATAAATATTCTGCATTTCCGATCTATGGCCACATTTCTCATTTGGGAGTGGATTCGAATAAGCTAATTGTCCCCTATTATACATTTGCTTCTGCACAGACCAATGTTGTAGAGTAAGACTAGAAACTATTAGAAGAGGTGATTTCTCAGTTTCTTTTTTATCTGACTGCTTAAGAGAGAAAGAAGTTATGAAAATAATTCAAGACATTTTTCTTATTTTAGAAAATGGATTCTTAAAGGATTTTAAACATCATGTGCATGATTTCTTATCACAGAAAAACAAACTAAGTTACAAAAATAAACACAGAGAATTAATATTTCAGTAGTAGTGGAACATTACCACTCATTAGGTCCATTTAGAACAGGCCCTGTCAGATGAATCGCTTAACTTCCTTTTCTTTTCATAGCTGTTGTCTCTGGTTGGAGAAGTTCCAGATTTTGTCCTCCTCTGACCGGATTATGCTCATGGAGAATAACCTTCATTGGAGAGAAATTAAAAACCTTAGACTCATATTTAAAAAGGAGGCAAGCCCTATTAGTGTCTTTTAAAAGAGATTTAATGTTGAATGAAGGAACTTCTGTTTGTCCCTTTTTCTCTTAAATGCTCATAACTTGTTCATTCATTTTATTCAGCAAGTATTTATTAAAAACTTACTATATATGCAGAGCACTCTGGGAGGGATTGAGAGGAATAAGAAAAGTTCTCTGTCCTCTAAGTTCAGAATTGGGAAGATAAGGTCCATGAGACCATTAATACAGTACCTGTATGTTGGGTTTGAGAGAAACAGAATATAGAGGTAAACATATAAAGGAAAAATTGAGAGCTCTTCCTCACTGAAGTCCAGTATGAAACGAAGATGCAGTTAAAGCATCTCTAATGAAACCATTGATCATTTAGAAAAAAGTATGTGAATTCTTTAATTTGATTTGATTAGGCTTGCCTTATAAGTCAACGCACGTAGTCAGTTTCAACTGCTCATTGCCTACAATGTGAATTGTTTAAGACGTGGGATGTGTAGAGTAAGTGGATGTGGCTACACTTATGTTCAGGGGTGGAGTATCTGCCTTGGTTTTTAAGCCTGCTTGGTAAAATTCCTTCCAAGGTTTCACCGGTGTGTTGTGTGAGGAAAACATCGACAACTGTGACCCTGACCCTTGCCACCATGGCCAGTGTCAGGACGGGATTGATTCCTACACCTGCATCTGCAATCCTGGGTACATGGGCGCCATCTGCAGTGACCAGATAGATGAGTGTTACAGCAGCCCCTGCTTGAATGATGGTCGCTGCATCGACCTGGTAAATGGATACCAGTGCAACTGCCAGCCAGGCACGTCAGGTAAGCTCGCTCTGTTTTTGTTCCCTTAGGTGTTTTCACTGTTTCTCAAAAGCAGTTTACACAGATGTCTCAGACTCTCTTGGCATATGCTTAGATGCCTAAAAAATAGTCCCGATTCAGAGAAGCACAGCCAAAGCCACAGCCAGAAACATCTCAGAGGCAGATGGCTCTAGCCAGTGGAGAAATTAGAGACAATAGCTTTACAAAGCTGATGATTTTGTGTATGTGTTTTTCATTTAGAAGAAGCACACCACTTCAAAAAATTGAAATTATTATTTAAAATTGAAAACCATTTTGCCTTTGTGTCTTGATTTGATTGTGTTTTTTTCTTTAACCTCCACCCCACTTAGATTAATGAACTTGGTCTTTTCCCCTCCCTCCCTCCCTTTCAATTTCTCTCCCTTCCTCCCTCCCTCTCTCTCTCTCTCTCACTCTCCCCTCCTCCTGCCCTTGCAATAGTTTTTTCTGTATTTCAGATTCCGTTATCTTTAATGTGACACTTTTCTTCTGCCATTTGTCTCTGGTGGGCCTTGGGCATCTTAGGGGATTGTAAGGGAGAGGAAAGACTTTGCTGCATGTCCCAGTCATTGTAAATTAGAATGCAGAGCTGCTGTTTCCCATCCCAAGTTCATTGCTGTTTCCTGACTCCGGTTGAATGACTGCTTGTTAGTTGTGAGGGCATGCTGCTCTTTCTGGGGAAATGTTGAATTATTTTCTCAGGCAGTAGCATTTCACAGGTTTCACTGGATTCTGTTTTCCTTATTCGAGGAATAATTATGGTCACAACTGTGGTTAATGGACAGAGAAGTACTATGTCTCAGATCAAAGGAAAATGTATTAGTGGAAGATTAACTAGTGTGTGCCTTTGTTAGAAGGGACCTGCCAATAGAAGGGAGTGATTTATTGAGAACTCATTCTCAATTTAAGGAAAATGGTCTATGTAGGGGGCAAAGGTGGGGGAGGTGGTTCGCTGCCCTCATTTTATTTTGTTATTTCCAAATCCATTTCTTCAAACTTGTCAAAGGCCCTGGTCTTCATCCAGGACCTCATACATGCCAAGTTTGAAAACAAAGTCCTTTTTGAGTTGCTCAAGCATACGAAAAACATCCCATGCCTTCACAGTTGAAAATGCCTTCCCCCTCCCCGCGTTTAGATAACTCACTAAAAGGACTGAATAGATCTTTGTGAAACCTTCCAAAAGCAATTTGCTTCCGGGCTGGTCCCCAGACATGAGAAATTGCAGTACGAAAAGAAATTTGAGAGATTTACAAGCAATTGAATGGATGCCTTTAGAATGGTGGAGCTGTTTTAGGTTTTGCTATCATTCCCATTATAACAACGTCCTGGAAACCTGGGTGACTGGTGGGTTGGCAAGCACTTGGTTTTTTCTGGGATTGTATCTTTATGCCAGGGTGTATCAGGTGTGTTCCTTGGGGAGGGCAGAGAAGGTATAAGTAGCTGTCAGTGAGAAAGACAAGAAGTAAATATGAGTGGTGTGTAGACAGCCTAGAGAAGGAAGGCCCAGAATTTCAGAAAACTGCCAAATCCATTCCTGTGGCTGTTTGAAGAATTCAAGCAAAGAGATGCAGGCAACATAAAGAATCTTGGTCTGTAATTGTTGGAGAAAGACCTGGCGTGTACTAGGTAGGGGCCTGGGTGAAAGGATTCATTCAATTAATCATTATGAATAGACTCTCGAGTTCTAGAGTAAGAATCCATGACCCATTCATAATATGGTCTAAATTGGTAGGTTGGCATTGGAATGAGTGTGTAGACGGAAGGGATACTTTACAATTTGCTGGTTATGATTGTGGTTTCTCACTCACTGGGTACTTAAGGTGACATATGCTACCCAGAATCACTTCTGATGCTTTCTTTCGCCTCTCATCTTATGATGGGAACCTGAAATAAGTTTTTTTTGGGTTTCAAGTCACCGAAACCAACTTGACTAGCTTAAAGAATCATTAACAAACAAGTAAACAACAACAAAACAAGCAGAAAGAATTTCATGAAAGCACACAGAAGCATCTTACAGACTCCTCACAAGAATTGATCCACAAGGCTTTGCAGAGCCAGGAGTCAGGGCCATTTGCAGACCATAGGTCACACAGTTCATATTCCAACATTCCAGTGAGGGAATCTGATTGGCCCAACTTGGGTTGGGTGTCTGTTCCTGCCGGAACAAAACTTGGCCTTCGGGGCAGAGTCACGCTGGACCACTCTGGCTTCCTGAGGTCTGCCTTGGTCAGTTGTTGTTAAATGGAGGTTGTCAGCCAAGGGCTGGACACATCTCCTAAAGGTAGCCACTTGTATACAAGGAATATGGAAACCGTTGCCTCGTTTGTGGCTAGTGAGGCAGTATAGCTTCATTAATCACACAATGACCAGAATGGTGTGGTGAACAGTATAGAATCCAGAGAGCTGGGTTGCATCCTAGCTGTGCTGCCGTAATTGTGCAAGTCCATGACAAAATGGGTGTAATGCAACATGATTTGGTGTTTGAGTGAGAAGATTAGAGAAAAGTTATGCAAAGAGAGAGGCAGAATACTTTGTACGTATTAATAGCTCAATAAATTTTTAATGTGATTATTGTTATTAATCAATATTAATACTAAGTATGAGTGAATCCAAAATATGGCATTTTGTCATGGAAGTTTCGTTTGATAGTGTATATCCTTATTACCAGGCTTTATTTTTAGTTTTTAAACTATCGAGGTATTCTTCTATGATACCCAAAAAGCATCACTAAATTCGTGTTAAATAAATAATGAAATATCCTATTTTTACAAAATAATGGTTACAATAATGATTGGTATATTTCTATTGTTTAGTTACCCATATCTGCAATTAAACATTTCTTAACATAGCCAAACTCAGTCATTCGTTTGGGAATAGACCAGGAGGAAGGCAGCATACCTGGGAGGAAGTTACCGTACACTTACTCAAAATCATAAGATTTATCCTGAACTTTAGCCCATAATAGTGACAGTGAGTTTCAAGCTTACGGTGGTGGATACAAGTCCAAAAATTCCCATTTTCACATGAAAGCTTAAGTTTTATCTTTGGAGCCCAATACTGTCAATTGTTTTCCTTGAAATGACAGGTTTACTTCTTTCACTTAATGTTTGCTATGTACTTAGATCTCAATAGCCCTGGTTTCTCTGTCAGTTGTCCTTTCAATTAACATGAGATTCCATGAAAAAAAGCAACTTTTCAGTTCAAGACCCAGATGGTCACACAACTTCTTTTCCTGGAGACAGCATGCCACAGAATTGTTTTATGAGTACTTCTCATTTTGTCACAAGGAACAGTAGATGTATTCTCAAGAGCTGAGATATAATAAATTATAATGCTAATAATTTTGACTGTTTTAACCGTGAATGCATGGAGGTGAAGACTACAATGACCACTAGTACAATTTGGTGCCACTGCCTTGATTCCTGCGAAGATGTCAGCAGTCCTACCTCCATTGCTTTTGCATCATCAATGCAAATGGCAACACAGTGAAAAAGGCAAATAGTGACTTAGTATGATTAATAAAATCATTTTGACCTCATGATCCCCCTGACAGCATCTGGAGGATTGCGCTTAGAGAACCACTGCTTCACTCCATCCAGGATTGGCCGGGCACTCTTTAATTTCTTAACAACTAGTGTCATAAGCAGAGATCACTGATATTTGTATGGTAATGTTTCGTGGTTTCTCTTTGCTTTTATCTTTGCAGGTGTTAATTGTGAAATCAATTTTGATGACTGTGCAAGTAATCCTTGTGTCCATGGAGTCTGTATGGATGGTGTTAATCGTTACAGTTGTGTCTGCTCACCAGGATTCACAGGTACTGCTCCTTTTTTTTTTTCTTTTAAAGACTTTATTTTTTTCCTTTTTCTCCCCAAAGCCCCCTGGTACATAGTTGTATATTTTCAGTTGTGGGTCCTTCTAGTTGTGGCATGTGGGATGCCGCCTCAGCGTGGCCTGATGAGTGGTGCCATGTCCGCACCCAGGATTCGAACCAACGAAACACTGGGGCGCCTGTGGCGGAGCGCACGGACTTAACCACTCAGCCACGGGGCCAGCCCGGGTACTGCTCCTTTTTGCTGGGAGGTCCCACCTTCAGCCCCATCACTTTGAGAAAAGAGCTTCTAAAGGAAAGTTACTTTTCTAATGTTTCCCTGTTTCCTATTTTTTTTGTCTCTTGGAAGGTTAGAAGTTTTGTTTCTGTGCTTCTCTGGCCCAGTTTTCTACTTGCAGACTTTCCGTAAATGGTAGCATGAAACTCATTGGTTAGGATTTTTAGACCATGTGTTTATAGCTACCTGAAAAGAATTTCTAGTCAGACCATGAGTTTCTGTCACTGTCTTGAGTTATATAATAGCTTCCAAAGCCCACCTTCATTTTTCTACACTTAGTAGGGAATGATTTCCATAAAGACCAAGCCAAGGTAAATGTCTGTAAAAACACTGAATGCATTTTTCTGAGTGCTTCTTCTTATGGGAGATTGTTGAATAAGGCCAGAACTTGAGAGGACCAACCTAATTTGGCTAGCACAAGTGAGATTTTTTTCCCCCAAAGGAAGAAAGTAAATGGCTAAAATGAAATTGGTTATAGTAATTCTTAAGTTATAAGCAGCTAGAGCATTTATGCGCACACACACGTGTGCACACACACAAACTCACACACATCTTTTCTCTCTTCTGATGCTAATAAGATTATCTCTATCTTTTACTCTGATCAAAAAGTGCTAGAGGCTGCTGAGGAAACCTGAGGCCTCTTACTGACATACCTGTTTGTCACTGGCACTATCAGAGGGCATATACTGTGCCCATCTTATTCTTTCAAGACAGTGCCGCATACAAGCAGACACTAACATGATATTACCATTTAATAAATACCATGTGGTCATTTGCATCCGATGTAAGAAACTTCCTTAGAGCTTTTTAAACTATAACATCAAAAGGCAATCAGAGCCAGTTGAAGTGGATGCCTGCCTCTCACTTGCCAGGAACTTACTTTCCTCTGTATTTCACAGTCCTTTCTCCTGCTTGGTATGATTGTAGACACCAGGGAGGAGTGTTTGTGACCCACCTGGGTCATTGTAATCCCTGTTAAATGGAAGATTACTCAGAAGACAAGTGTGATGAGAGCTCTCATGTCTCACCGAGCAGTCCTGGTAACCAGGATGTTCTCCTGTGTCTTGAAACTTCTTACTCCAAGATTAAGTGAAAGCCAATTGAATACACAAAAATTCTTGATAGGATAATAGGTGCATTTTTGTTAAATAAGTAATAAGGAGAGAATAGCTACCATTTATTAAGGACTTATTTTGAGATAGGCATTAAATCAAGTGCCTAATCTCATTTAATTGTCACTGCGTTTATCATTCCTATGGTATTGACGAGAACCCCAGAGCTTAGAGAGCTTAAGTAGTATTGCCAGCATACTATGGCCAGGAATCTGCCCCAGGCAGTCCTCCAGAGCCTGCTCATTCCCATTTCGCTGGGCAGCCCAAGTGAGTGAGTGCCTCTTGTGCTTTCTTTTTTGATATAAGCCTTAGACTGGAATTATTTTTTTTTGGAAATGTCAGTGTATCATCTTCTCCCTCTTTTTAACATTCAGCAAACCAGGAAGGTCAAGGAGGGAGGACATGGCTAAATATATTCTAAAATAAGCTTAAGGTGTAGCATGAAACTACATAACCAAAAAATGGAATGTTTTGGTTACTGGGTGGTACCCTGTTCTTGGAACTGTTTTCCATGTCTGGGTTTTTTTTGTTTTTTTTTCTGTTTTTTAAAATTAGCTCCTAAAAATATCAAAGACAACTTTGGTGTATACTTGTGAAGTATAAATGTGAGGTGTTTTACTCTTTCCTTTATTTTATTTTAATATTACTACTTTTTCTCTTCTTTTTTTTTTCTTACCATTTTAATAGCAGCTTTGACAGATTTAAGGGAGGGTTTTCTTTTTAATAAGACTAAATTCTCTGTTCTCCTCAAACCTTTTTATACTTACTGATTGAATGGGGAAAGTAAGAAATTATGTGGTACTTCTGTAAACTACTTTTCCAGTTTTACCTTCATGTCCATTATTTTACTGACTTCTCTTAACAGCCCGTAAAAGTAGATAGATTGGATAAGAAACCAAAAGCACAGGCAACAAAAGCTAAAATAAACAAGCAGGAATACATTAAATTAAAAAGCTTCTGCGCAGCAAAGGAAACAGTCAATATGTTAAAGGCAACCTACAGAATGGGAGAAAATATTTGCAAACAATATATCTAATAAGAGGTTAATATCCAAAATATATGAAGAACTTGTACACCTCAATAGCAAAGAAGCAAATAATCCAATTAAAAAGTAGCAAAGGACAGGAAAAAAAATTTGTAACTATGTGGTGACAGATACTAACTAGAATTATTGTGGTAATCATTTTGCAATATATACAAATATCAGATTACTATGTTGTACACCTGAAACTAATATAATGTTATATGTTATACTTATACCCCAATTAAAAAACACATTAGGCAGGAGTGACTAAACACAATTTCAGAAAATATTATTGGAAAATTCCCAATAATTTCCAGGTAGAGGATTCTGGAAGTGTTCACTCTAGTTCTCAAAGCTGCATGATTTAACCATGGAGTGATTGTATTTTTAAGCTGTAAATCATTATTTGTATTTAGAAATCCAATATCATCTGAAACAGGTGAGTTTTGAAAGCTTCACAATTTTCCAAACCATAGTGATTTTCAAATAGCGTTTGAAAGGCTAATCATGAGTAACATATCTACCAGCATAGCTGGTCCTCATTATAGTGTCTTTATAAAACTATATAAAATTGCCAAAATACAAGGAGAAAACATAAATATGAGTTTTACAATCTCTTCTCTTTTTAAATCTCTCACAATAGTTTCTAATCAGTAGTAGAGTATGTAAGTGTTTATGAATTTATAAATGTTGAATGTGCAATTGCTTTTTGGTTCTCTGACCCTTAGTCAACCAGATAGTGGCGTATCCTGCACAGGCATACTGCCAAGAACAAGGGGAAGTGAAGAGCATTGCATTGTGGCAAAAGTGGTAGAAAATGAGTTCCGCCTTCAGAAAGATTTAAAGTGTGATCAGGAACCCAGACTACCTGCATAAGAAAATGACAAAAGACTGTGGAAGAAAGTATAAACAGTGTACATACATTCAAGAAATGCATAAGTGATGAAGGAAAACAAATAAATGTTTAGAATCAGGGAACAAAAATGGGCAAAGGACCTGAATAGATATTTTTCCAAAGAAGACATACAAATGGCCAATAAATACATGAAAAGATACTGAACATCTCATTATCAGGGAAATGAGAATCAAAACCACAATGAGATATCACCTCACACCTATTAGAATGGCTCTTATCAAAAAGGCAAGAGACAACAAATGTTGGCAAGAACGTGGAGAAAATGGAACCCTTGTGCGCTATTGGTGGGAATGTAAAATGGTACACTCATTATGGAAAATAGTATTACAGTTCCTCAAAAAATTAAAAATAGGAACTGCCATGTGATCCAGCAATCCCGCTACTGAGGAATTGAAATCTGAAGGAATTGAAATTAGTATCTCAAATAGATATCTGCACACCCATGTTCATTTCAGCATTATTCACAATAACCAAGATATGGAAACAACCCAAGTGTCCATCAATGGATGAATGGATAAAGAAGATATGGCTTATATATACAATGAATATTATTCAGCCATGAGAAAGAAGGAAATCTTGCCATTTGTGACAGCATGGATGGGCCTTTAGGGCATTATGCTAAGTGAGATATCAGAGAAAAACAGATACTGTATGATATCATTTATATGCAGAATATAAAAAACCTGAACTTGTAAAAGCAGAGAGTAGAATGGTGATTACCAGGGGCTGGGAGGGGAGGTGGGAAAATTGGGGAGATGTTGTTTAAGGATACAAGCTTGCAACTAGTAGATGAATAAGTTCTAGAGATCTGATGCCAAACAAAGTGATTATAGTCAGCAATACTGTATTATAAACTTCAAACTTGCTAAGAGAGTAGATCTTAATTGTTCTTAGCCCCAAAAAGAAGTAATAATTATGTGACATGATAGAGGCGTTAGCTAAAGCTACAATGGTAATCATATTGCAATATATAAATGTATCAAATCAGCACCTTGTATACCTTAAACTTACACAATGTTATATGTCAATTATATTTCAATAAAAAATTTAAAAAGCTAGGGAAGTTTTTTTTAATCCCCATTTAACAAATAAGGTAACTGAGAAATAGAGCTTGATGTGTCTGTGTTGTCAGCTAGGAGTCACACAGCTAGGACTGTGAGTTCCAAGAAGGCAGGGACTTCCCTAAATCGTCTTTTTAGCCAATGTCTAAAACAGTGTCTAGCACAGAAGAAACACTCAGTAAATGTAGTTAAATGAATGACTAGAACTCAAATGTGAGACTTCTGACATCTAATTCCCAGATTCTTGAGTCTGAGCTATACCATGCTTTCATTCATTAAACACCAATTTGTTGAGTACCTAAAAGAAACAACGGTTGACTTCTCATTGAGTAGTTACTGAGCCCAACAGGGTGCACAGTCTTCTGCTGGGTGGGCATTTCTGATGCCAGGTGGAAACTCTGTAAGCGTAGGACCTTGCTAGTGAAGCAGCTGTGAGTCCACATGGTAGACTGCACAAAGAGGCACTTAACCCTCTCGCCTAAAGATGTCTTGAAATTGATTCTGGAAAGAGTTTTAAAAGAAAACATGGGAGGGGGGCTGGCCCCGTGGCCGAGCGGTTAAGTTCACGCGCTCCGCTGCAGGCGGCCCAGTGTTTCGTTGGTTCGAATCCTGGGCGCGGACATGACACTGCTCATCAAACCACGCTGAGGTAGCGTCCCACATGCCACAACTAGAATGACCCACATCGAAGAATATACAACTATGTACCGGGGGGCTTTGGGGAGAAAAAGGAAAAAATAAAATCTTTAAAAAAAAAAAAAAAAAAAAAGAAAACATGGGAGGAGTGGCTTCTGAGAAGTTGCTTCCAAAAAAGGACAGAAAAGGAAGGCTTTTTTCTCTCTTTCTCCAGTGGATTGCAGGCTGAGGGCATCTCTGAAGTTGAAGAGTTGTGGCTTATATCTTGGTGCCAGTGTTGAACATCTAAAAAAAATCGGAGGTTGAGGCTAAGGAAGTAGTATTGTAAAATAAGTTATTAATAAAACATGTAAGAGGAAAACAACAACCACTAGCAGATTATGGGTCTTTGCCACAAGAACCGCCAATAATGGTGTAGAGAGCAACGGAGGGTGAAAAAATGTTAATACCCATACTTTAACGGGCTGGGTATCTATTTCATTTGGAATTTCCTGTTCCAAATGCAGGGTTACTCTTTCTTAAATAAAAATGCATGTTTTTATCTGAATCAGAACATTGTACTCTTTGAAATTTATAAATTCCTTCATAGCAGTTGTTCATTGCCGTTCATTTATAGAATTATGGGTTATTTAAAAATTTGGTATTATTTTGGACTGTATAGTTAAATTTCACTGATTCAAAATTAACAAGGCAAAACTTTTATATAACTGGCACATTTTATTTAGCTTAAAGCAATAAATATCAAGATTATAGCAGACGTCTTTTCAAAGTGCAGTCTTAGTATGTTTTAGAGGAAGAATATATTCACTTCAATTTCATATATTCTCAGTATTTACATTTTTACGTGATGGTAAACTAATAATTGTCTATATCAGAGTTTCTCAGAATGTAGCATTTGAGCCACCTGCATTACTTCAAATATGGTTCCTGGACCCCACCCATCCCAGTCCATGGCGATGGGCTGTAAGGATCTCCTTTTAAAACAAGTACTTTAAGGGACTCTTTTTGCACATTAAAGTTTGAGAACCACTGGTCTAGACTGGGAGACCCTGAATGTTTTTCTCAGTTATCAGAGGACAATAGAATTATACTTAAAATGTTCTTCTTCCTGAGGCAGAAAATGGATTAATATAACTCTAAGAATGAAAGCAAAATGGTTTTTCTTTTTAACCAATTTAATCATTATGTTAATAGTCCATTCATTAAGCATTCTAGTTAACTAAGATTTACCACATGTAGAAGTGTAAGATGTTGGCTGACTGAAAAAATGAATTTGCAGTAGAACCAGCTGAAAACAGTGATAAGGAAAGCTTCTTTGACAATGCTCAGAACAGCACTAAGATGAGCAGGCAACTTTGTTAGCATTCAATGTTCTCTTTTTTGAATCTTTGCATATTTCTCTGTTTCTAAGATGGAGTGAAGAAAAAAAAATATGTCAAAACACAACACTGTTCCAGCATTTCGTTAACTTTGCTTCATTGTCATTTGATAAGCTGTTTGCTCTTTCGTCACATGGCACTGACCGCCATTGGGTTTTTTTCTTTAAATCTTGACATTTGATGCCAAGGCATCTTATAGCTTGGGCAGATGAAGATCTCAACGCAATGTCTTATAGTTCTGTGTCTATTCCCTAAGCATTTTAGATTTGACAAAAACTATACCCCTCCTCTACAGGGCAGAGATGTAACATTGACATTGATGAGTGTGCTTCCAATCCCTGTCGCAAAGGTGCGACATGCATCAACGATGTGAATGGTTTCCGCTGTATATGCCCTGAGGGACCCCATCACCCCAGCTGCTACTCACAGGTGAACGAGTGCCTGAGCAATCCCTGCATCCACGGAAACTGTACTGGGGGCCTCAGTGGGTGAGTAGCTGTCATGTATTAATAGTTTCTTATTGACCTGTGCCAAGCCATTAGGTTTTAGTACTGACCATACCCTGTAGAAGTCAGTCAGGAGCTTGAGCTGAGAATCAGCTGAAGATTTGGTAGTCTGCATTATAGTCTTCCACATCGCCACTTCTTCCCTATCTTTCAATGCCGAGTAGGTGAAAAATAAGAAGGAATGCCTCTCTCAGGTGGGTAGTCAGCACAAGGAGGAGTCCAGCATTATTTTGAGTCTTTGGCAATTGTGCTTTTAGTACTTACTGCAAAACTGAGTTCTCAGGGATATTCTATTTGATTTTTTCCTCTGCTTAAAAAAAGCTCAACTCTGTTCTATCATGGTACCAAATGTGTGCCACTGAAGTAGAGTTGGTCTCAGCTAACTTTAGATGTGGCCCTAGTAAAATGTTCACAGTTTGCAAGCCCCTGAGAGTTATGTGATATGTTGGTAGGTAATTTTGTAGAATCACAGAGTGTGACATTAGGTCCCATGAGATAGTTCTATACTCGTGCTGTGCTTGCCAGAGGACAGGGCTCTGGGCATTGCCTATTGTCATACTTCCAACAGGTGAAAGAATGAAGAGTATATTTAGAGGTAAGTGGGAAATCAAGTTATTTCCAAGAGGAATTAACTCAGTATTCCTGTTTTCAGAGTATGGCAGCCTTCAAAGCATCCCAACCCAACTACACTTTTCCTAAGGATCTCTAAACAAGGTATCTCCCGATACCACGTTCTAAGTGCTAATGATGTTCAAATTGTGAACAATGTCCATATATTTCAAATACCTTCATTTTTCCCTGCTCAGTACCCTAGGTGCTTTCTAGGGCAGGGTTTCAGGTCAGAACAAAGCATGTCTCCAAAGTCATACATTCCCGTAGCTCCTCAGAGTGGCTTAGAGTCTGTGAGACTGACCTGCTTCCTGGGTGTCTGTTTTGCACCAGAAACAAATGATCTGAAGGATTTGCTTTACTTTAGTTTCATTTATAAGAAAAGAAACCATTTAGATTTGTCCATGTTAATGTGACTATCAGATTGGCCTGATATGTTGTACCAACCACTCTTTACACATGAAAGCTCACTATAATTAATGAATTTCTCTAGCATCTTTGTGAGCCAAGAAAGCACCAGGAAGGTCTATTTACTGAATATTCAAGATGGTCCCACATGATTCACACTATGTGCATGGTGATCCAGGTATAGGTCCATCAAAGAGGAGAAATGAGATGAGCTCACCTGTGAGCTCTTCTGTTCCTCATTTCTTCACCAAGTCCTGTATTAACTATGACTGAATTGTGTATTCATCCCCCCATGGTAAAGAATTCTGTCTTCTTTCAGGTACAAGTGCCTCTGTGAAGCAGGCTGGGTTGGCATCAACTGTGAAGTGGACAAAAATGAATGTTTTTCTAACCCATGCCAAAATGGAGGAACTTGTGACAATCTGGTGAATGGATACAGGTGTACCTGCAAGAAGGGTTTCAAAGGTGCAACAAAAGTGCATATTTTTCTCTCTCTCTCTGTGCCTTTCTGTTGTTACACACAGCTTGACTCCTTTCTTCCTTTCCATTTTCTTTTTCCTGTTCATTCATATGGCAAGCATCAATTGAGCACTTAGTATTTGTAAGGCAATTGGGGAATAAAAAACATAAATGTAGATATAAATTCTAGTTTCAGCCTAGCAGAGAGGTGAGCAACTGAAACAGTACTAGTTAAGGTGAGCTGCTATGATTCCACTTATACAGCTTGGACAGGTGTTCTAATTGTCAGCCCCTTCGTGTGGGTTTGCTTCTATGATAACTCAAAAGGGATATCAGTAGTAGAATGAAAATATTGTTTTACTGTAATTATGATAGCAGTAATATCATAGGAGAATCTATGTATTCACAACCCTTCCAACAAATTCTCTTGCATAGTGAGATATTCTTAGATACATAGTCACCTATGGCCTCCTGGAAAAAATGCAGAATAGTGGGTGTTGTGTAAAATTATTTTTTGAGTTGTCCTCAATCTTCTCCTAGAAACTCATGGGAGAGAAATCGATGAATAAGTCATTGATATTTGCACTCCTCTCTCCACTTAGTCATTGATTTCCCTACTCAAAAATTGTGCCAGGCCACCGTGATACAGCAATATGTTTCAGAGTCAGGTTATCTGATTACTTAAAAATTTTCTGAGACCATTTCATCATTGATTTTCTGATATATTATATTACATTTGCAAAGAAACTTACAGATATAAAAGCACTATTATTTCTTTGTCTCTTTGAGACTTGCTGATTAATGAGCAAAATAAGATCAAAATGTAAATCCACAGCTGTACAGCTGTTGAGGAGCAGAGTACAACTTGAACCCAGACTTCTGTACTCCCAGACCATCATTTTCTTTTTTTACGGTGCTGTAGTTCCTTCATATTAGGGCTCTGTGCCAGGCTCTAGTGAAGATGCAAAGGTGTGTAATATTTGGGTACAGTCCTATCCCCATTGATGCTTCCTTTCTTTTCTCTTTTTCATAGTGGGAGTAGATTTCATGTCTTGGATCAGGGCAGAACAGCCTTTGGACTTCAGGAAGTACTACCACATCGATGGTTGAGACTGTGTATATGAAAGAGTGGGCATAAATCAGAGGCTTTGATTAATGTATTCACAAATGTTATTCCTTGATAATTTATACTCCCTTTTTAAGCCCTGCCCACATACTTTGTATAGAAAGAGCTTGTATTTAGATACAGCAGCAGATTATTCCTTTTAATAAACTTCTTGGTCCATTGTTAAGAAATACCTTGTATTTGGAGGTGCATTAGACTTCCCAGCTGTTAGAATATACTGTTCTTCCATTCATCTTTTTGACTAATTAAGCACTATCTTTGACCAACTGACTGTATGTCAGGGGCTTGTCACTGAAATGAATGAAAAAGTGTTCCACTGGCCTGAGGAAATTAATGTGATGTCTGAGGTGTTTAATTTTTATCACTGAGGATTGCTTAGTAATTGAGGTAATGAGGAGGCTAACACAGAGGTTCACTGTTTTTGGTTTTTCCCCTTTTCTGTTTACAGGCTTTAATTGTCAGGTGAATATTGATGAATGTGCTTCAAATCCATGTCTGAACCAGGGAACCTGCTTTGATGACATAAGTGGCTACACTTGCCAATGTGTGCTACCATACACAGGTGAGACCTGCAGGTGCCGGGGCCAGGGGAGATGCTTGGTCTTGCCTTATTGTGCCAAACATCTGAGTTTCAGAGTCATGGCCTGTGGGTCAAGATGCTGTTCCAAGGAAATACACCCTGGTCACCCTTCCTGCCCTCACTGACTTGGATGTGAGCTCTGAGAAAACACTGTGGCCTCCCTAGATGCAAGTGGTGGGGAAACTCATTTGCCTTCTTTGTACTTTAGGGTTTGAAATTTTCTTTTTAGTTCTATATTATAGGCTGGAATCAATGCATAGCTGATGGTTTAGTCCCTTATTTGCATGGACCCAGTGTCTTCTTGGCCTGCCCTCTTAGTTTTAGTTTCAGTTACACAGCAACTACCACTTGTTGGTAATTTACCATGTGCCATACACTTTATGTACTTTGGGTTATTTAATCTAGTGCTCACAGTAATTCTACAAAGTAGGAGGTCCTATCGCCATTTTATACATGGAAGCTAAAGCAAAGCAAAGTTATTTGCTGAAGGTCACATAGGTAAGTGGTAGATCTGGGATTCACCCCTAAATCTCTCTGAATCTAAAGCTTGTCCTCTTAACTGCCATTCTCTCCTCACATTCAGTACCACTACGTCCCATTCAGAGAGGTTTTGCCCCTTGGACGGTGACCCCACACACCGAAGACATGGGTGTGACTTCATTTCACATCGGGTGTCTTTGTTTCAGATGGTATTTTAGGTGTGTGCTTGGACATTTCTTGTCTTTTCTCCTGCCTCATTACTGCCATCTTGTGATTGGTTGTGTTTGTGCGGCTCACTTACCTCCTTGTCATCCATTTTCTTCATCCATGAGGAACAAAAAAGAAACCTGGATGATGGCTTTGCCTGTTTCTCCAGTGTGCAGCATGCAGGCAGGAGCATGGCTGAATTCTTGCTCCTCTGGAGTCTTGGGCTGTTAATAGCGACGCTAAGCTGTTGAGAGTAGCAGAGTGGCCAAAAGCATGCCTCTGTTACCTGAAAGACTTGATACTACATTGTTACCTTTGTCCCTCTTTAGAAGAAATGTTCATGTAGGGAATGTACATTTAGCCAGCTTGGTTGATAGAGTCAAAGTTATCAGAGATCTCTAGCTGTTTCCAGACAAGGACAGTCTAAGTAATGTCATTCCATAGTAACAGTGCCGATCACATGTGTTGGTAGTGAGAAGATCATCTGTCTTAGTCCATGAAGACTGAGAATTGGTGGCTGTAAGGAGATATGAGCAGGTGTCACCATGCTCAGTCACAGTATAGGCTTATCTGAGCATGACTTAGGTGTACAACTCATCTTGAAAATACTTATTTTGTCTTCATGCTACTCAGATACTATAAAAATATTTGGACTATATGCTAGCTATTGGTTTTTCTTCAGATAAGGATCCCAATAAAAGAATTTGCTGCATGTGAACTTTGGGAATTATATTAGACTTAAAGCTTACGCAGATTAGAATTTCAGGGCTATTGAGTTTGGCCATCATGAAAGGAACTAAGCAGCATCACCTTCCCCATGAGCCACTATATCTGATCAGACATGTGAAAAACTGGTTGGGGATATCAGTGAAAATTTGTGATAGTATTTTTTTTTCTTTCTACAAAGTTTTCTGATAAAATTTAAAATTGAGTTAGTTGTAACTTGACTTTAAAAACCTCATATTCCTTTTAATAAAAGCATTCTTTTAATATTTTTTTGCTGGAAGCTTATATTCAGTATACTAAGGCAAGAAATATTTGTGGGCAGATGTCCATGGCATGTTGTTGATGTTGGTATAAGGAGGCAGTCAGAATTTCTTCACAGTTTCCCACCTCTAATGGCCTTCTGATCAACCCCATCACCTTCTGGAGCAGGCCAGCAGAGGTCATGAGGAGTAGGAGGCTGTGTTGCTTCTTCCCTGCTCACGTGAAGGAGGATATGTGTGGCTGAGCTTCTGAGTACTCCTGAATCTTAGCTATGGAGATGCAGAAACTATCACTCCCTCAATGATGCAAGCATCCGCATCAGTGTAACCGCTCATGATAACACGAAGATGACAGCAACCCAGCAGCTGTTGAGCACTCACTCTATGTGCCAGGCTCTGTGCTAATAAGGACTTTGTAAGCATTTTTTCATTTAATCTTCAAAAACGCTCTGTGAGTTACATATCATCCTAATTCCCATTTTACTTATGTGGAAGGCCCAGGGAAGATAAATAACTTGTCTGAAGTCACACAGGAATCAAGTCAGAGCCAAGACTCAAAGGACCTTAGGTCTCTCAGATTCCAAGCTCTTAACCACTACCGTAGACTTGAATTTGGAGAGCATACTTTAATATAGGATTTGGGGAAATTTCCTTGACTAGTTCTCCATCATAAACTTTATCATTTGCTTTATAGGCAAGAACTGTCAGACTGTATTGGCTCCCTGTTCCCCAAATCCTTGTGAGAATGCTGCTGTTTGCAAAGAGGCACCAAATTTTGAGAGTTACACCTGCCTGTGTGCTCCTGGCTGGCAAGGTAATACCACAAGAGTGGAGAAACCAAGATCTTTAAACAAAGTGGTCATGTCATCAGATAACATGAAAGACCCTAGTCTTCTGAGGCCTGTCCATCTTTGTCAAGAACACAGACCTTGTACAGAAACTGGAATGCCTTAGAAAGCATTTCCATTTTTCGTGTCTTTGGGGCCCCCTAGTGGCTGGAAGATTCCAACCTGAGTCCGAAACCATGATGTTCTACAGGGAATTTTAGCTCCTGGGCAGCAACTTGGCAGGGCACAGAAGCCGTAAGGGACTTGCCAAAGCAGGAGACCAACCAAAATATCCATGGAGTAGCCCCATCCATCCCAGCTGAAGCTCAGGCCTCACAGAAATATCTATGGGAGGCAGCTTCCAAAGACTGGACCATTCATTGCCCCTGTGTTGTAGGTCAGCGGTGTACAATTGACATTGATGAGTGTGTCTCCAAGCCTTGCATGAACCATGGTCTCTGCCATAATACCCAGGGCAGCTACATGTGCGAGTGTCCTCCAGGCTTCAGTGGCATGGACTGTGAGGAGGACATCGATGACTGCCTTGCCAGTAAGTATGCCAGCCAGCTCCTAAACCCCCTGAGGGAGAGGAGAACACCCAGGGAGCACAGAAGAGCTCAGTGAGGCAGCTGCCTCTCAGTGCTGAGATGGGCCATCCTAATAGTTTATCATGTCTTTAATATTAGTATTTTAATAATCTTTTTGAAGCTAGTGGCTTTAGGGGTTGAGGCAATGCAATCTCTTTTAAGCATTCTCGTACTTACTGTTTTTCTACACTGACAAAGTGGGGACAAGGCTATGATTCCTTTTTTTTTAAGCAGGTCTATTGAGTTTGAGTTATTTTTAACATGCAGTACACTGTCAATATTTTAAATCTATAATTCAACAAGTTTTGACATATGACAACTGAAACCGTCATTCAGGGTAACAAACATATCTATGCCCCTGGAAGTATTCTCATCTCTTTTGTAGTTTAACCCTCCTTTTCACCTGCCTGTCCAGGCAACCAGAGATCTACCTCTGTCACCATAGCTTTGTTGACAAGTTTTACAGTTTTGTATAAATGGAATCAGATAATGCAAACTCTTCTTTTGGGAGAGGGAAGGAATATGACTTCTTTCATTCAGCATGTTATTTGAGGCTCACCTATGTTGTGTGTATTAATAGTTCATTCTGTTTTATTGCTAAGTAGTATTCGATTGGTTAGATATATTACCATTCACTAGTGGGCCAGTTGGCTTTTTTACAGTTTTGGGTGTTACAAATAAAGCTGCTGTGAATGAGTCTGTGAATATATGATTTCATTTCTTTTGAGTAAATGTCTAGGAGTGGAATATCTAGGAGTGGAATAGATGAATTATGTGGTAGGTATGTTAAACTTTTTACAAAATTGCCAAATGTTTTCCAAGGTGATTGTACCATTTTCATTCCCACAAGCATTATATGAAAGTTCCAGTTGAATTACATCCTCAGGAACACTTGGTATGATTACACATTTTAATTTTAGCCATTCTAGTGGGTATATGTGGTATTTCACTGTGTTTTTAACTTGCATTTCCCTATTTATTAATGATGTTGAACATCTTTTCACATGCTTATTGGCCAGTTGTATATCTTACTTGGTGTAGTGTCTATTCAAATCTTCTGCCCATTTGAAAAATTGGATTGTCATATTTTTGAGTGGAAAGAATTCTTTATATTCTAGATACAAATGCTGTGTCAGATATTTGCTTTAAAACTATTTTCTCCCAATCTGTAGCTTCTGTTTTGGTTTTCTTTTGAAGAGGAAGAGTTTAGTTTTGATGAAATTTAATATATTTATGATTTTCTTTCATAGTTCATGCTTCTTGTGTCTTATTTAACAAATTTTTGCCTAACTCAGGATCACTGGGGTTTATATCTTTTGATTTCTTCTAAAAGTTTAATACTTTTAGCACTCACCTTTAGGACCATGATCTATTTTGCATTAATTTTTACATATAGCATGAGTTTTAAAGGTTTTAAATATTAATTTTGGTGTGTAATTTTGCTAAACTTATTATTCTAGATTAGTTTAGGTTCTAGTTTAGTTTAGATAGCTACGATTTTCTTACAGAAACAATTATGTTATCTCTAAATAAATAAGATTGGTATGCCTTTTATTTCTTTTTAAATCTGTATACCTTTTATTCATTTTTCTTGCATTATCGCACTGGCTGAGACCTTTAGTAGATGCAGAATAGAAGTGGTGAGAGAAAGCCAGTCTTGTCTTGTTCTTGATTCTAAGAGAAAAGTATGTAGCCTTCTACTATTAAGTATGATGTTACCTATAGGTTTCTTGGTAGATGCCTTCTATCAATTTGAGGAATTTACCATGTACTACTGGTTTTCTGAGAGTTTCTTTCTTTTTATAATGAATGAACTTTTATTTTTTTCAAATGACTTTTTCTGTCTGTTGAGGTGGTAATACCATTCACTTTGCTCTTTTAACATAAGTGAGTTATATTCATTGATTTTCAAATGTTAAACAAATCTTAAATTTCTGGGATAAATTTTACTTGGTCATGATGTATTATCTTTCTTATATATTATTGGATGTGATTTCCTGAAATTTTGTTAAGAACTTTTGTATCTATGTTTGTGAGGGATATCATTCTCCAGTTTTCTTGTACTTTATTTGTATGATTTTGATAAGAGAGCAATGCCACCCTCATAGAAGAAATTGGGAAGTGTTCTCTTTCTATTTTCTGGAAGAGTTTGTGTAGAATTGGTATTATTTCTACTAAACATCTAGGCCTGAAATTTTATTTCTGGGAAGATTTTTAACTATAAATTTAATTTCTTTAATAGATACAGTATTATTCAGGGTATCTATTTCTTTTTTATTGAGCTTTGGTAATTTTTTATCTTTCAAGGAATGAGTTTTACTTTAAGTTGTCAGAATTATTGGCATAGGTCATGCATAATATTCCTTTATTGTACTTTTAATGTCTATAAGATATCTGGTATTTGTACCTTCTCTCTTTTTTTTCTGATTCCTCTGGGTAGAAGGTTATTGATTTTAGTGATCTTTTTAGCAAACTCATTTTTAGTTTCATGATTTTCCTCTATTGTTCTACTGTTTTCTATTTCATTGATTTCTACCCTTTATTCTTTTCATTGCTTACTTTGGGTTTAGTTTGCTGTTCTTTTTCTAGTTTCTTAAGATAGAAACTTAGATCATTAATTTTACTTATTTCTACTTTTTTTTAACATAAGCATTTAATGCTATATATTTTTGCTAAAAACACTGATTTAGCTGTATTTCGAAAATTTTTTTGTCATGTTTTTTCTTTCAGCTCAAAATATTATCTAATTTCCATTTTGATTTGTTCTTTGACTCATAGATTATTTAGAGGTGTTTTCTTTAGTTTCCAAATATCTTTTATTGCTGATTCCTTCCAGATAGCTTCTAGTTTAATTACATTGTGGTCAGAGAACATACTTTGCATGATCTGAATTATTTTAAATTTTTAAAGAATGTCTTATGGCCCACTGTATGGTCTGTTTTGGTAAATGTTCTGTGTGCACTTGAAAAAAAAAGTCTATTTTGCTGTTTTTTGGTGGAGTGTTCTGTAAATGTTATTAATTCCAATTGGCTTACAGTATTTTTAGGTCTTCTATACTCTCCCATATTTTCTCACTACTTATTCTATCAATTATTGACAGAGGGATTTTGGAATTTCCCACTATCATTGTGTATTTGTCTGTTTCTACTTGCAATTCTATCAGTTTTTGCGTAGTGTTTTGAAGCTCTGATATTAAGTACATAACCGTTTAGGATTGTTATGTCCTCTTGAAGAATTGAGTCTTGGCTTTGAAATGACCTTCTCTACCCCTTGTAGTATCCCTACCTCTGAAGTCTATGTTGCATCATATTAATGTAGCTATTCTAGCTTTCTTTCGATTATTGTTAGGGTGTATACTTTTTCATCCTTTTACTTCAGGCCTGTCTGTGTCTTTAAAGTAGATTTCTTGTAGAGAGCATATATTGGGTCTTGCTTTTTTTCTCTGACATGACAATGTCTGGCTTCTAATTGAGGTGTTTATACATTTAAATTTAATGTTATTTTTGATGTAAATGAGTTCAGTATTTTCCATCTTGTTGTTTACTTTGTCTTGGTCCTTTTTGTCTATTTCCATTTCCCTCTTTTTTTGCCTTCTTTAGAATAATTGAGTATTTTTTGTGATTACTGTTATTTCTCCACTGGCATATTAGCCATATCTTTTATGTGTCTGTGTGATTGTTGGGTTTTCAGTATGCAACTTTAACTCATCAAAATTTACCTTCAATTATATGATGTTGTATAGAGGATAAGAGCCTTACAGCAGCATGCTTGCATTTATACTCCTCTCTGTTCTCTTGTTGTCATATAATATCTGTATTGTAAACCCCCCAAAATATGATTTTTGCTTTAAATGGTCAATTAATTTCTCAAGAAATTTAAAAAATAATTTAAAAGTCTGTATATTTATCTACATATGTGTAGTTCTTGATGTTTTTCAGTCTTTTGTGTAGATCTGCATTTCCATCAGGTATCATTTTCCTTGTCTGAAGAAATTCCTTTAATATTTCTTGTAGTGCTTATCTCCTAGTGATTAGTTCTTTCTGCTTTTGTGTGTCTGAAAGGTTTTTATTTTGCCTTAGTTTTCAAAGATATTTTCATAGGGAGCAGAATTCTAAGTTGATTTTTCTCTCCAGCACTTTAAAATTATCCTTCTACTGTTTTCTTCCTTGCATTATTTCTGAGGAGAAATTGGCTATATCCTTTTATTTGTTTTTTTATATGTTATTTTCTCTCCTTAAATATTTTTTAAGATATTCTCTTTCCACTAACTTTTATGTTACCTGGTATAGTGTTCTTCATGTTTCTTCTGTTTGGGGCTCATTGATCTTTTTGGATATATGGGTCCAAATTTGGAAAATATTCAACCATTATTTGGAAAATATTTACTTTTTCAAAACTTTTTTGCCCTTCTTTACAACTTTCATTATACATTTTTTACGTTACTTGAAATTGTCCCTCTGTCCACTAATGCTCTATTTTACTTAACTTTTTAGAATTTTTTCTTCAGTGTTTCACTTTATATCATCTTGTTATTTGAAGATATATTTGCTATATTTTGCTATATTTTCAAGTTCACTAATCATTTCCTCTGTAGTGTTTTCTTTGTTGTTAATCCCATCTAGTATATTTTTTCCCCTCAGATATTGTATTTTTATCTCTAGAAGTTGGATTTGAGTCTTTCTTGTAACCTTATCTTTCTTCTTGTCATATTTGTACTTTCTTCACCTTCTTGAACATATGGAGTACATATATATGTATAAATGTTTTTTTTTTTTGTCATTTATTATGAACATATGGAGTATATATATATATTTTTTTTTTTTTTTTGAAGATTGGCACCTGAGCTAACAACTGTTGCCAATCTTTTTTTTTCTTTCTTTATGGTTTTTTCTCCCTAAATCTCCCCAGTACATAGCTATATATTTTAGTTGCGGGTCCCTCCAGCTGTGGCACGTGGGACGTTGCCTCAGCGTGGCCTGACAAGCGGTGCCACATCCGCACCCAGGATCCAAACCAGCGAAACCCTGGGCCACTGCAGCGGAGCACAGAAACTTAACCACTCAGCCACAGGGCCGGCCCCTGGAGTATATTTATTATAGTTGTTTTATTTTCCTCACACTAATTCTACCATATGGGAAATTCCTGGGTCTGTTTCTATTGATGATTTTTTTCCTCATCATGAGTTGAATTTCCTGCTTCTTTGCCTGCCTGGTGATTTTTGATTGGATGCTAGATTAAAACAAACAAAAGAAAAACCTTTGAAGTATTTTTAAGCTTTGTTTAATGATTATTTGGAAACAGTTTGGTCCTTTTGAGTCTTTTCTTCAAGATTTGTTAGGTGGGTCCGGATCAGCCTTTAGCTCAGGGCTAAAATGACTCCCTACTGAGACAGCATTCTATGAGGACCCTACTCAGTGCTGCACCTGTCAGGAGGTCTTTTCATCCTGAGTGGCATAAACACAAGCTATTCTCAGTAGGGATTGTTCTGCCTACTTCCTTCTGGTGATTATTTCCCCAGCTTCAATAGTTTCATCATATGCCTGTGATGTACTCATACTTACCAGTACCCAGTTACTTGTGTGGTGATTAAATCATTAAACTTTAAATGAGGTTATCATAATGCATTAAGAATAATGGCACCTTAATTCACGGCATATATAATTTCAGATCATCATCTAAACGGCACCAAAGTAGGTCCTGGCCCTGCCAAGATAAATAAAACTCAGTCCTTACATTCATGAAACTCATAGTCTGTTAGGAAAGAAAGACATCTAGACAAATAATGTCAACATTATGTGACAAATAATGAAAAAAACATGTCCAAGTTATAATTGATGGAGAAATTTAAGAGAGTGAGATCCAACTATTTGGATTCCTGTCCCACATTAATCAATATCAGTCAAAATTTCCAGTATTTTAAGATTTTTCCTATTTAAAGTAGGACTAGCAATATTTGCAATTAGTTTAAAATAATTCAGTAAATTATGGTGAGTTTCCTGAAAGGAGCTATGGAAATTACAGTAACTGTGTACCGTGTATTGTGGGTAAGAAGTGATAATGTGATTTTTTACCATTGGTCCACTGTAGATTGCAGATGAGCCTTAGAATGAAATTAGCCTAATAGATGAATAGGTACATTACGTATCCCTCTTATACAATAGGGGCCACTTTACCCACCTGGTGTTTAGTTTTCTTTTTATGTTTATGACCTGTCTTTGCAATTATGTTTTAAAGTCCTTAAGAGCAGGAGCTACATCTTGTTTTTCTTGTTCTGATTTATATGCCATATGTTGCAGAGGACCGTGCCCTGAGAGTAGCTCAAAAGTTGTTGATTACGTGTTGTGAGTGTAAAGTGTTCTAAGATTGAGCTATGTAATATTTGAAATGAAAAAAACTTTGTTTCTGGGGCCAGCCCATTGGCACAGTGGTTAAGTGCGCACGTTCTGCTTTGGCGGCCTCAGGTTTGCCGATTGGGATCCTGGGTGCAGACATGGCACCGCTTGGCACGCCATGCTGTGGTATGCATCCCACATATAAAGTAGAGGAAGGTGGGCATGGATATTAGCTCAGAGCCAGTCTTCCTCAGCAAAAAGAGGAGGATTGGCAGCAGTTAGCTCAGGGCTAATCTTCCTCAAAAAAAAAAACAAAAAACAAAACAAAAAATCCCCTTTGTTTCCTACTTCTACCTAAATCTGAAAAACAAAAAAATGGAAAAGAAAGGAAAGACGGGAGGGAAAAGAAAGGAAAGAAAGATCAATCGGCACAGGGGGCTGAATAATATATATTCTGTCCTACCCCACCCACTCCACCACCACATACACTTTTTGAAAATCTTTATTGATATTTCTGAGATTTTGTGTGTTGGGGGCACATATTTGATTTGCAAACATGTAGGGGACCAATGCATGTTTTATCACTCTTAATTTTCCAAAACTCTTAGTGGTGTATGTAAACTTGATTTCAGTTATCAAACAGCCAAGTGTTATTGCATTCATTTTCGTAAATGGAGGAGTCAGGACAAAATAGACTTAAAAATACAGGTACAGAAAAATCAGAATTATTACTGTTCTTAGTGTGACTCAGTTCAGGTCACTCACCTTTATGAGTCTAAGATTAAATTGAAGCGACTGTTCGGAGCTCTCATTCTTGTGTGTAATGGCTTAGATCCTTGCCAGAATGGAGGTTCCTGTGTAGATGGAGTGAATACTTTCTCCTGCCTGTGCCTTCCGGGCTTCATTGGGGATAAATGTCAGACAGACATGAATGAGTGTCTGAGCGAACCCTGTAAGAATGGAGGGACCTGCTCCGACTATGTCAGCAGTTATACTTGCAAGTGCCAGGCGGGATTTGATGGAATCCACTGTGAGAACAACATCGACGAGTGCACTGAGAGGTGAGCAACCTATGCGGTCAGGCACCAGTGTCTTATGGAAAAAGGGAAAAAGGGGAGGAAACTACAGAGCACACTACTCGGGCTGTGGGGCAGGGATCAGTCATCCACTTAGGTCCCATTCTGCCATCATCTCCTATTGCCAGGTGCTTGATTCCTTTTAGACATGTAGTTAGCTGGTCAAAGGTCAGAGGTTGAAAAGCCTAGTAAGTTGAATCATCATTTATTTCTTCCTTAGGGAACAGAGGGAGCTATAAGTTTTCTCTTTGTCTCTTGTTCATTTCAGTTGATAATTTAAAAATTCCTATTTCTTTGCAGATTTGTCATCACTATGTAAGTGATTTCTAGGAGATTTATGTCTTTTTTTTATTATCAACAAGTTCTGTTTCTCTTTCAAAGAAATCTAGATTCAAGAGCTATTTATTTAGCACTTTCCTTATAAATTAAATTGACTTTGAAATACACTACATGGAAAACTACAGAAAGCATTCCTGGGTAAAACCTGGAAACCTTCACTTTCTCTAGGAAGCTCTAATAAGCTCAGCCTTTTAAATCCTCCTCTAAACTTTTTGGTTGTGGGAAGGAAGCTGGGACTCAGTCTAATTGGCACCCAATCTAGTTTGGAAAAAGGTAAAATTTGCCAGATGTAGGAGTTTGGGGTGCTCAGGAGTATTTGCCTCTGTAATGTCTTAAATTCCAAGAACCTTACTTTTGTAAGGAGCAGGTCAGAGGAACAGATTGCACAGCCAGTGTTGCTCTCCCTGTTTGTTTCTTAGCTCCTGTTTCAATGGCGGCACATGTGTTGATGGGATTAACTCCTTCTCTTGTTTGTGCCCTGTGGGCTTCACTGGCTCCTTCTGCCTCCATGAGATCAATGAATGCAACTCTCACCCCTGCCTGAATGAAGGAAGATGTGTCGATGGCCTGGGTACCTACCGCTGCATCTGCTCCTTGGGCTACACTGGGAAAAACTGTCAGGTAATTAAATTCCATCCCACTCACTCAGCTCTCTCCGAGTAGCTGAGGGTTACATCTATTCTTTTCTAGGCAGAATAAGCCCCTCCTAAAAGAGAAGACTGTGGGTCTCAGGGATGCCCCTGAGATCAATCTGGATAACTTCTTAATAGCTGGTGGATTCCGAAATGGTGACACTGGCAAGATTATACGGGTTAACAAACATAAGATTGTTGTAACAGACTAACCAAGAACTGCAGAAAAATACATGTGGAAAATAAGCACATAAATATCAGGGGCTGCCCTGGTGGCATAGTGGATAAGTTCGTGTGCTCTACTTTGGTGGCCTGGGGTTTGCAGGTTTGGATGCCAGGTATGGACCCAGCACCGATCATCAAGCTACACTGTGGCGGCATCCCACATAAAATAGAGGAAGATTGGCACAGATGTTAGCTCAGTGACAATATTCCTCACACACACACAGAAATATCACTTACATTGGAAATGCAAAATGGGAAATAAAAAACAAGCAAAATAAAATCTTTAAAGGTCAGATACAACATGTAAGGGGATAATAGTAATAATTATCATATCTTGCAATATTGTAACATTTTCAAAACCAAGCTATTCACATATCTTTTAAATTCAAATATGTATAAACGTACAGTTTCCTAGACTCTTAGGATGGAAGGACCCCTCAGAGCCACCTAGTCTAGCCTTTCATTTCATGGAAGAAGAAACTGAGTTCCAGAGGTACAAAGTAACTTTTCCAAGGTTGCATACCAAACAGCATTGTGTTTAATTTTATGCGACTTTGCCTCTTAAACAATAATAGAATAACAGAACTCCAAAGAATTTAGGAATAAATGGCCAAATTTAATCAGCCTTACAGGGTGCACTCCAATAAGGCTTCGGCTATATTGGATATCTGCATGTTAAACAGCTTTTTGCTGATTCTGAGGATCAGGAAGACATTTTTCATTGGGCTCCTGCTTATTCTCAGTGTGAGACTACAAGTGCTGGGGGAGCACTCTCCCATTCCCCCCAGCCCCTCCTTTCACAAACAGTCTGTGTGGCGAATGTGGCCCTCTTCTCCAGTGGGGCCAAGCCACCACATGTGAGTTATGGAGAAAGTGCTCATCTGCTTGCACTCTCTGCCTTGTGTTTTTCATGAGCTTGATTTTTCTTCCCTCAAAATAAGTTCTTCGACAGTGTTTAGGTTTGTTAATAGACTTTAAGTCCTTTTACCCATGTTCACTACAGACAGATTTGATCACGACCCAGGTGGATTCCTCACGTGGGATCAGCACAGGGAGTTATAGGCCTGTCCGACAGCTTGAACTCTTTCTTTCTAGCCCTGAGGGTGGCCAGATATCTTGACATAATCATGATACAGAGAATAACTTAAGCTATTAGGCTCCTTTAAATTCTTAAACCTCTGTGTAAGAACTTTTCAAATAGCAGAGCCAAGAGGATTAGACTATATAAGATGATTAGATTACCTGGGAGCACTGGATCTCATCTAAGGCTTGGATGAGAGCTTTTTTTTTTTTTTGATGAATTAGTGTGCTGCTTTCTTTTGATTTCATAGAATGCAGTGTAACTTAGTTTCTTCATTTCTGGATTTGGATGTTGATGTATGTGTATGCCTCTGTTTCAGACCCTGGTGAACCTTTGTAGTCGGTCTCCATGTAAAAACCAAGGTACTTGCATTCAGGAAAAAGCAGAGTCCCGGTGCCTGTGTCCGTCTGGATGGGCTGGTGCTTACTGTGACGTGCCCAATGTCTCCTGTGAGGTGGCGGCCGACCGCAGAGGTGAGCTCTGCCCGCGAAGGGTCATTCCCTGAAGTACTGACTGACCAGCGGCATTTGAGGGCACGAATTACCACTGTGGATGAGAGAGAAGGGCAGACAGTAGTGGATGGGCAAGACCCTGGAGAAAAAGGATCTGAGACAGAAGGTGATAGGGCAGAGGAATGGATTTAGAGATTCCAAAAAGAAATATATTCGAAATGAAACGAAGGCATATTCCACTTTCAGGGCTTGTCTCTTTTCAATACAAATCTGGTACTGAGGGTCGTGAACTAGATAAGAATAAAATTTGATGTGTCAACAGGCTTAGATTAGTTTGCATGTTAGTTGGTCTGAACCTGATGTGTTGTGTACTCTTCTGTGATGTTTCTTCCTCCACTGGGTTTCCAGGGGTACCCGTTGACCGCTTGTGTCAGCACTCAGGCATCTGTATCAGTGCTGGCAACTCGCATCACTGCCAGTGCCCTCTAGGCTACACAGGGAGCTACTGTGAGGAGCAGCTCAATGAGTGCTCGTCCAATCCCTGCCAGCACGGAGCCACCTGCAGCGACTTCATTGGCGGATACAGATGTGAGGTGAGTAGGATGAGTGGGCAGAAGTCAGAGACCTCCCAGAAGATGGTGCAACTATTGTGAACACTAGCATATTGAACTTAGCTGCTTATGTCTTATTTTTACAATTTATATATATATATATATATTTGTTCCAATCACCATTACAGTGTTTACTAATCACTGTTTCTTTCAGTCCCCCTGTACAATAAGTTAACATAGCTCCAGTCAGATATTTTTTAGAGGTCTAGAACTGCCTCATTTCCACAGGGTTGCCTCCAGGATTCAGAGCTAACATTTACTACCAGAATGCGTTTCACAGGCCCACCCAGACCAGTGGCACCTGTTACTTCCCTGAATAGCAGCTGAGATAGGAGAAGCCACTTTGAGGAATGTTCCTTTGACCTGTGTCATCTTTGTATATAGTCATTCATCAATCAACTAATGTTTGTTAGCCTGTTCCCTGTAGCCTCATACTAAGTGTTACATGTGTATATTTGGGGAAGTGTGTGTCTTTTAAGGAGCATGTCACTGTCTTCTTAATGTTTGGGCCGATAATGGTTAGAGCAAGATGTTAACAAAACACCAGAGATGAGAATTTGTTATCAATTCAAGTCACCAAGCAACACTGAGAAAAGCTCTGCTTCTCTATGTCTCATAAATGAGCCAAAGATGGCCTCTGTATTTTGTCCCCTAGGTTATTTATTTCTTCGCAGCAGGCTGAGGCCTGTTAGCTCAAAAGCTGCTGACACCAAACTCAAATGTTTACACATCCACTTGTTTTAAACATAGCCCTAATAAGCAGATTTTTAGCCATTTAGAGCCTGCCTGCTTTGTATATTCTGCAAAACTGTACCCCAAATCTGCTAGGCATAGATAAGATAAGCCCCAGGACATAAAAGACCCCAAGCCACTGCTGCCCTTCAGAGCTCTCTGGCCTGGCTGCTGAGTGACATCACCAAACATGTAAGCCCCCTCCCTGTGACCACTTTCCCCCCTGAGTTCACTTGCCTTCCTCTCCTCACCCTCCTCCCCGGCTCCAGACGACCTCATGCTGTGAGGGACTTCCCCCATATGCAGACCTGTCAAAGCATTGCCCAAATAAAGCCTTCATGGTCAATATCATCTTCCTTGCTCAGCCCTTGAACCCCTACATCTGCTATAGCCAGCTAGCCCACCTCCCCTGCCCTCAACCCTATCTCAACCATTTTCCCACTTATACATGTAGTGTCCTGAATCTGGAGATCAGTAAATGCAATGTCTTTACGACCATCTACACATACCATTTGACTGAGTCATAGGGTCTTCATCACATACAAAGGAATGCATATTTTAAAGATGGGAAAACCTGTACACAGGAGGCACAGAAGTTTTGCACAGGGGTCAGATCTGAAATATTCCTCAGAATGTTTAGTCCTTGCCTTCCCTTTAAAGTGGCTTTTTCAGCTGGAAGAGTTAAGTGCCTGTGAGCTGCAAGGTGCCCCTGCACAGGATGATGAGTGGGGCGTGTGGCGATGCCAGAGAAGCACACAAGAGCTGGATGGGCGTGGGGGAGAGGGTGGCAGTAACATTCCAGATATCATTTGTTCTCATGGTCTGTTTCCAACAACGCTCCAATATTTCTTATCCTTTTTGTTTGCTCCTGACAGTGTGTCCCAGGATATCAGGGTGTCAATTGTGAGTATGAAGTGGATGAGTGCCAGAATCAGCCATGCCAGAATGGAGGCACGTGTATCGACCTTGTGAACCATTTCAAGTGCTCCTGCCCACCAGGCACTCGGGGTATGAAGTCAGCCTCAGCTGTCCTCTGTCCAGGGCGTCTCTAATTCATAAATCCATTTTCAGTGTTGAGGGAGTTTTAAAAAATCAAGTGTTTAGTTCTGAATCCTGGTAATTCAAGCCATTTTATTCTCTCATCTCTTGCCTAACTCTGATGTTCTGACTTTTGTTCTCAGTTCTGTCTGGTTGTGTTGACATATTATGTTCCGTGAAACACAAAATGTGGAAATGATATAATGTTGCAACAAAATTTGCCTGGTTAGCAAGATTTCTTGGTACTTCAAGGGAAAACAGCTCAGTGGCCTTCTGCATAAATAATTCACATTTACCAGCTTATGTATTTTTTTAAGCATGCCAAGTCTTGCCTCCATAAGGTGGGAGAACAAATGAAATGAAAACATTTACCTATTTTCATAAGCCCAGGAGAGGAGACTGTTGGCCAAAGGCTGTAACTAAGAATTGCAGTAAGGCTGCATGACATGCAACCCTAGACTGTGGATGGTGGGGCCACCATACTACTATGGGCATTGCTCTGCTTCCAAACAACCTCAGGAAAGAGCTGGGAGTGTTGGTTGTTAGAGGAGATGTAGCTATATTGGTACCTGCTCTGAGCAGTCTGTGGAAAGAAATGTAAGAGGCCACCCACGGTGGTGGAAAATTCATTCTCAGTGTCAAGGAGAGTAGAATGTCAGGGAAGTAGTTATACCGTCGTAGACATTTGTCTCAGTGGATTTTGAGAATTTAGCTTACTTGAGTTCAGAATCTGACTAAAGCAAGATAGAAGAGTACCCCAGTAGCAGGCTAGTTATTGAGCAATGAGGTTAAAGGGGAAGAGAAAACTAAGCAGAAACAGCCTTCAAATATTTGAAGATTTGTCCTGTGAAAAGGAGAGTTGTTCTCTGCTCTAGAAATCAATAGTTGAAAGAAAAGTAGAAGTGAATTTCGTTTCATTATTAGTTTGTTCATGTGAATAACTGTACTGTTTAGGACAAGCTGCAATTTTAGTGGTAGCAAATTAGGCCTCAAATCTCAGTGGCTTGACAAACAACATCGTTTTTTGTTGTTGTTGTTACCCATAGTCTGAGTGTGTTGGGCTACCTCTCTCTGTGTTTTAGAAGTGTGATTTGAAGCTCTTGGCCTCTAAGGCCTCCACAGCAGGGGAAAAGAGACAGACTTGTAGGGTCATGTAGCACCTTTCACATCCTCTGTCTGGAAGTGACACCCTCACTATTGCTTATAGTATATATATTGACCGAAATTAGTAAAACGGTCTCAACCTGATCCAAGGGTGACTGGGAAATGTGGGAGAGCACATGGATTTTCATTGAACACTAAAATCTCTGCTATCCCATAAACTTTTTATTGATTATAGAGATATGGACCATCTCTAGATTGGTCTAGAATGGACCATCTCATAAAGCAACAAAATTTCTCTCTTCTGACCATTTGCTAAGGATGGTTTAAACAATGGTTTTGCTATTATTATTGACAGTCTTTTTCTTTCAGCACTTTAAACATGTCATCCCACTGCTTTTTGACTTCTGTGTCTTTTTAAATGAGAAATCAACTGTTAACCTTATTGAGGATCCCTTGTACATGATAGATTGCTTCTTTCCTGGTATTTTCAAAATTCTCTCTGTCTTTATCTTTTGACAGTTTGGTTATGATGTGTGTAGATGTGGATCACTTTGAGTTTTTCATACTTAGGATTCATTGAGTTATTATACTACGTGTGCTTGGTTACATATGTGGAGTGCTAGTTCTCTCTCCTGGCTTGACTTCTCTGGCCATTGGTGAACATTGGAGACTCTCAAGTCCCATGATCTCATGGTGAGAGTTAGCACAATGATTGTTTTTATTCCTGTTCTCCTGAACTTTGGATCTTGGTCTGGGCATGCCTCCAGTTCCCAGGTCAAGGGCTCACTATAACATTTCTGCCTTCCCTCCTACTTTGCTTCAGGCTGAGGGTGAGCTCCTTCTGACTGGATAAGTCTGTCGTTACTGCTGGTTCCATTCTGATGGGAGGATAAGGCGTCTATGTTAATTTGCTAGCAGACCTTAAATACCAAATATTCTATGAGAGTGGGAGCACATACTGATTTTGTTTATTTTTGCTTTCTTGTTTTTGATTTAGTTTGTAAATAGGTGATATATGCACATGGTCCAGAATTTTACACACACACACACTTGCACAAACACAAGTAGAAAAAGCGTACAGTGAAAAGTCTCCTTCCCACCCCTCTACTCCCGTACCTAGTTCTCTCTCCCACAAACAAGTAACCACCGCTTTTTTTTTATATCTTTCTAGAGTTTTTTTAATGTATCCTCCAGAGTTTCTTTATGTATATAGAAGCCAAATAGAAAGATTATTTTATTTACCCCAATTCTTACTCTGAAGATAGAATATTAAACACAGTCTTTTGCACTTGTTTTTTTAAAGTTAATTGGAGTTATTTTCATATCAAAATATAGAACTGCCTTAATTTGTTGTGGTCCTGCAGAATTCCCTTTTATGGGCATACAATATTTTACTTAACCAGTGCCCTAGTGATAGAAATTTGGGTAGTCCTGCATGTATATAAGTGTATTGTAGAATAAATTTTCAGAAATTCAATTGCTAGGTTAAAGAATATGTTTATTTGTAATTTTGATTGATATTGCTGAATTGCAATGTATGAGCATACTGGCTTCTCACTATGGATGAACATATTCTCATTTAAGAGTCATTTGGTTTTCCTTTTTCTATGGTTTTTCTGTTTATATCTTTGTCCTTTTTTTCCCATTACGTTGTTGTTCTTAATATTTTGCAGAGGTTAGCTGTCTATAATACAAAATGTAAATATATTCCCAATATATTGCTTTTTGCTTTTCTTTTTGGTGATTTTTTTAATGCAGAGCTTTTTATTTATTTTCTTTTTTATTTTTATTTTTTGTGTGAGTAAGATTGTCCCTGAGCTAACATCTGTTGCCAATTTTCCTCTTTTTGCTTGAGGAAGATTGTCAATGAGCTAACATCTGTGTCAGTCTTCCTCTGTTTTATGTGGGATGCCACCCCAGCATGGCTTGACAAGTGGTGTAGGTCTGCACCCAGAATCCAAACCTGCAAATCCCCAGCCGCTGAAGTGGAGCACACAAACTTAACCACTGGGCCAGGCCCCAGAGCTTTTTATTTTTAGTCAAGTTGAATTTATTAACCTTTTTAATGGCTTCTGGATTTTGAGTCCTAGTCAGCAACACCTTCCTCTCTAAGATTAGAAGGGAATTCTCCCATATTTTCTTCAAGTACTAGAATACTGAAGCACATTTTCCAGATGGCTACTGATTTTTCCCAACACAATTTACTGAATATTTGATCTTTGATAGAATAATTTGAACTGGCACTTTAATCAAATTCTAAATTCCCATGTGTATTTGAGTGTTTTTCTGGACTTTCTTTTTTGTTCTATTAATTTAGCAATACCACTCTGTTTTAATTATTATGGATCTTCTTTTTCCGGGTTTTCCAGGCTATGGGTATAGTTTATTTTTCCATACAATTTTAGAATCAGATTGTCTGTTAAAAAATTCTGTTGGTGTATTTTGTTGGGGTCACATTAAGTTGATAAATTTGTATAGAGAAAACTGACATCTTTCTGATGAGGAATCTACCTAACCAAATCATAGTGTCTTTTCATTTATTCAAATCTCCTTTTGTGCCTTTCAGGAATATTTTAAAGTTTTCATATAGGTGTAGTACATTTCTTATTAAGATCATTCCTATTTTATCTTTTGCTATTCCTATTGAAAATGAGGCCTTTTCTTACATTTTTCTTTTTCTTTTTTAATAGTCTTGCTTATATTAGTGTATGCTACAAATGCAAGTGGTAGGAATACAGAACTGTTTTCCTTTCTTTTGTAATTTTTTGAATTAATCATAGAATCATTTCTATAATAGTGATTGATTTCTTTAGCTTCTTAAAAATATTTACAGATATTCATACTAGATGGTGCATTTACATCTACAGTATATTGAATGAATTCTGTTGTAAATGGAATAAGCTTTGAGCTCTCAACAGGATATTTTCCCTCTATTTTTATTAAAAATAAGACACTAGTGCACTGCCACTATTTTACAGGAAAAAAACACAATGGATATAAAACTTAAAAAAATATATCACTCAAATTTAGTTCCAATTCTTACCAATATTTTTACGTATTTGTAATCTATGATTTCTTGTTATATTCTCTTTTCAACTGTTTTTATATTTTGAATTAAAATGGATAAATTAATGAAAAAGTGCTGAGTCTCTCTTGAGCTCTAGTGTTTTGTCTCTCGGTTGGGACAAACAGTACCAGCTGCTCCACAGGAGGTGGCTTCATTGGTTGTGTGAGAGAGTCCATGAGAAGCTCTACGCATATCCTTTCCTTTGCTCTTACTGGTCGCCAAGAGGATGGCAGCTGTCATGGATCAAGAGTGTGCTTTGCCCTGCCTGACCTAACAGGTCCCACCACAGACTGAGGAGTATAACCTGATTAATTGTGCAAGTGCCAACCAGGGTGGCTCTCCCTGCTGGAAAGCAGTGTTCCCAGGGTTGTCATAATGCTCTCTCTCCTCTCTTCCCTCCAGGCCTGCTTTGTGAAGACAACATTGACGACTGTGCTGGGGGTCCCCACTGTCTTCATGGTGGTCAGTGTGTGGATAGGATTGGGGGCTACAGTTGTCGCTGCTTGCCTGGCTTTGCCGGAGAGCGGTGTGAGGGGGACATCAATGAGTGCCTCTCCAGCCCCTGCAGCTCTGAGGGCAGCTTGGACTGCATACAGCTCATCAACGACTACCTGTGTGTCTGCCACAGGGCCTTCACCGGTGAGAGCCCCTCCAGCCTCTCCAGCCACTCTGCCTCCGAGGGGGCTTTCAGTGAGGAAGTGGGGCCCTGTATACACGTCCTAGACCCAAGTGAAGCTTTTCATTATATGTGAAAACCTAGACCAGCTTAATTCACGGGCCCAATTTTTTCTTACGTCTATGCTCCATGGATGTTATGATCAATCTCTACCTTTTCTTTTTCCTGAGAGACACTTTTTCTTTTGTTATACATTGATTGTATCATACTGGAGCAGAAATATAAAAAAAGAAATAGAATGCTGAGGGTAGTTGAGCAAAATAACATTTTTTAATTGTGGCAAAATACACACAACATAAAGTTTGCCATCTTGGCCATTTTAAAATATACTATTCAGTGGTAGTATGCACGTTCACATTGTTGTGCTACCATCACCACCATCCATCCACAGAACTCTTTTTATCTGAGCAAAATAGCATCTTGTTTTCAAGAAGCTTACATCTAACTCTGCCTTCTTTGGCATCTAGTGACTTGAGTTTCTGGGTAGTTGCTGCCACTGTGACCTTCTTTCCAACTCTGGGACCCAGAGAGACTTAGGATCTTCTAGGGTGTTTAAGGGGAGTAGGTCCAAATTTGGGTGTGTTAAATCAAAAATCAGTTGATGAGGGTCTGGACTTTCTCAGGCTTCTTTTTTTTCATCACAGATCATAACGATGACCAACTCCTGCTTCAGAGTAGGAGCTTTACCACGGGCGCTCACTAGTTACTTCTGGAGAAGGGCAGCTCGGTGACCTTTTGGGACTAAAATAGTTGTTTGTATCTAAATGTGGTAGTATCATCAGATGCTCAGATTAGAAATCTGTCTTGCGTTTCTGGGGTCATTCCAAATCTTATACTGTAGTAGTATTCCTTGGGAGTCAGATAATAGGTTGCAGTAGTCTACGAATAATTTGGCAAGTTGGACTCTGCTACATTCTGAGCCCATCTGCAAACTTCCTTCCTTCCAATTTTAAAGCTATGTTACCTTTAAGAATTTTGGAATTTTATAAAGATTGGAAGGGCTTTTGCAATATGGAAGATGCCTGGATGGAATATCAAAAGAGAAACAATCCATTATGAATATCATACCTATTGAGGCAGTGCTGGACAGAAAGAGTTTGAACAATCTGTCTACAGTCTCATATTAGCCACGATGTGCTTGGGAAGCCAGAGAGGCAAAGCTGGCTTCTGGTCCTTTCACTGCCTCAGAGGCTTCCTTTATCTGGAAACACTGACAAGTACTTACCAAGAAAGAGGGCACACATGAAGGAAGGAATGGAGACCACCTTGAAGTAGGGTCCCACAGCCAGGAAGTAGTGTTTGTGCATTTCCCATGTTTGTGAATGAAAAAAAAAATCCCTTGAGCTCCCTGATTGTAATTATTGTGGGATGCTGATGCTGAGATGAAGATCGAGGGACCGTTGGTCTCTGACCATGTGTCCATGTGATACCTGCTCTTGGTTAGGGGCTGCTGCTGTGCTTGGAAGAGACAAACATCTGTAACTCTTGCCTATTAATTCTGGTTGGCCAAAATTATTACTATTTTAATTTCCTTTTTCAAGCTGCCTCTTTCCTTCTAATTGACTATAAGCCAGATGAGGCCCATCTCCTGCTATGTGCCAAGAGGGCCCAGCTGTGCCTCCATGTCTCCCCCATGATTTCAGTTGCTTAATTTACTTTGTGTTGGAGCAGTGGCCTCTATATGCCTTCTATTTTAGAACTGTTTCTAGAGAAAATTAACTCTGGGAAAATTAAACTGTATTTTAAAGCAGTACCAGTCAGGTTACAGAAAGGCTAGAAAATGATTGAAAAGAGAAGTTACAGATGAAAATTTTCTGTAAGCTGTAAATCATCATTTAGATGTCTTGGCCTGGAGTAGCCTCTCCTATGAAGTAGATGATGTTAACAAAGTAGAGTGAAAGTTTTGCTAAGTGTTCTTTGACTTGTGAAAGGTAAAGTGCCTTAAAAAAACCTGAGGCATCATTTTTGGTGAGATTAGAGTCGTTTTTCACATCCATCCTGTTTGGGGATGTATGCCATGTGTCCTTATTGCATAGGTGAGAGAGATGAGGAACTGGCCTGAGCCAGTGATGGGTCAATCATGTGGAGATCCGGTCTGTGTTTCCTTCATCTTATGCTCACTTAGGCTGAGAACTGAACCCTCACACCTCTTGCTCCATCTCTAATCCTCTGGCTAGTTCACAATCCAGCAGTGTTCTGTTCGGTAGCTTGTAGTTCCTACTTCTGCCTTTTGAAACTCCTTTTCATCTTCTGCTTTGAGGTCGTCACTGTGAAACTTTCATCGATGTGTGTCCCCAGATGCCTTGCCTTAATGGAGGCACTTGTGCTGTGGCCAGCAACATGCCTGATGGTTTCATTTGTCGTTGTCCCCCGGTAAGTGCTGTGTTGCATGGTTAAGGAGCATGCTCTCTTTCACACAGTCTGTGACAAAGCTGAAATTAAACCTGGTTTTTTCAAGCTCCATGGGGAACTTTCTGGTTGGGGAGATTTCTTAATTTTATCTCTTTCAGAAGAAAGTGCTTAGGTTTTCCATGTAAAGCTGTTAAGATACTCCCAGAAACAGTGAGCTCCCTAATCTGTGACTGTCAGTCTTCAGAAGCACCAAGGAAAAACCACAACAAGTTGTGGAATGTTCCCTTGAAAACAGGACTACTGTCTGACTTCTGAGTCCTATGCTGGAGGGTGGTCTTGCTGCCCAGACTGGGGTAGAGTTGCTTACATTCCTTAGCAGCAACTATTTGGGAGCAAGATGTTTCTTAAACTAGAAGGAAGCCTAGTTTTAGCCACTTGCTGGCAAACTCTTTTGCCACTGCCAGAGGCTAAAACCTCCCTAGAGCAGAGATCACTATATGTGGGGAGATACCAAAAGGAAACATGTCCAGTGACCTTGGCCTGGGCTGATCAGGAAGTATAAGAATGAAATGACACAGGAAAGTTTTTTTAGATACCCAAACCTCCTGAAATGATATTTTCCCCCCTGTAAAGCCATTATATGACAGTTAGAGAAGGTGCTTATAGATACAATGTCACCTGACTCATCCCACCATGACCTGTGGACTTAGTTTCTAGAAGTGAGCTCCTAAAGGGAGAGAATTCTACATTCATCCCGTGGAATCTTCAGCCCTCACCTATAGGTTGACTTGAAGAAGTCTCTTCCTAGAACTTGGTCCAGGAGGCTACATGAGGATCTTAGCCAAGCATCCAGTCTTTCTCTCCCCAGGGGTGTGAGAGGGAAGGGATTAGGAGGGAAAACGGGTCATGCCCTCAAGAGTCGGTCCACCATCCTCATTTGTTCACTGATTTCCACAGGGATTCTCCGGGGCAAGATGCCAGAGCAGCTGTGGACAAGTGAAGTGTAGGAGAGGGGAGCAGTGTGTGCACACGGCCTCAGGACCCCGCTGCTTCTGCCCCAACCCCCAGGACTGCGAGTCCAGCTGTGCCAGTAACCCCTGCCAGCATGGGGGCAGCTGCTACCCTCAGCGCCAGCCTCCTTACTACTCGTGCCAGTGCTCTCCACCATTCTGGGGCAGCCGCTGTGAACTCTACACAGCCCCCACTAGCACCCCGCCTGACACCTGTCTGAGCCAGTATTGTGCTGACAAAGCTCGTGATGGCGTCTGCGATGAGGCCTGCAACAGCCACGCCTGCCAATGGGATGGGGGTGACTGTTCCCTCACTATGGAGAACCCCTGGGCCAACTGCTCCTCCCCACTTCCCTGCTGGGATTACATCAACAACCAATGTGATGAGCTGTGCAACACGGCTGAGTGCCTATTTGACAATTTTGAATGCCAGGGGAACAGCAAGACATGCAAGTAAGGGTCCACGGTCCCCAGAAGCTGAGGGAGACTGTCACTAACATACCTCAGTTTCTTGTTCTTACTCCTAACCACTCCAGTGCTTCAACCCAAGCTGCCTCTGCTTTTCAGACTGGTGCCCTGAAGGTCCTCTTCTTCCTGGTGTCAGCCTTGTCCCATCACACGCTACCCCGTGCTCTCCCTTGCTGACAGAGGTCCAGGAATGCTCATTGCACAACCACCCCCTCTCTGCCTATCTCTGCCTTCTCACCTGCTGCTCTCGTGACCTCCCAGGGGAAATAACTTTGGAAGTGGTGTTACCCACTCTCAGGCAGCCTCTCACATAACCTGCCTGCAGGATGGATGGAAAGGTCTGTACTCTCTCTGTTCACCCCATCCTTTCCCTAGGACTGGGTTCCCCATCTGGATTTATCAGGGAGCGTACACTAGATTAGGCCACTTAACCCTGCTGGTCTTCATTGTTGCAGTTATAGGGTGTTTTATGGTTTACATAGAAACTTTCCTTTTAGCCATCCCATTGAATTTAACCCTGATTAATTCTCAACAACCTTGCGAGGCATAGGTATTGTTAATAGTCTTTCACAGGTGAGGGAACTGAGACCTGGGATGTTAAAGGTCTTGCCAAAGCACATGAGCTATTCCTGACTCCTAATCTCTTCACTGAGCTAGTGTGGCAAGTTGAACCAAATCATGTCACTATCAAGGGGTGGGGGAGGAGAGGAGAGTGTAGATGAAATGGTTTGTGCATCATTTAGGTTTTGGGACTCAATTTCCTATTCTCAGTATTTGAAAGAGGCTGTACAAGTTAGATCTGGTATCCTGTATGAGACATACCCCTCACTGCCTACCTTCCATAGTTGGTATTCAGTTTTGATTGGGAAAGAAATGGGCCATAGTGACATGGCCCTCTGTATAGCAACTCTTGATGGTTCAAGGCTATGTGTCCAGTTTCTGGAAGAATCTTCTAGAGGCAGCTTATACTTCTGAAAGCCTCTTTGTTACCTCACAGGAGCAGTAGATACAAAAACAGAGGAAGTATGAACCAGGTTGATTTTTGTTTCAAATACACAGCTTTGTTTACAAATCTGACTTAACAAGATTACGAGCTGCCTGGGGCCCCATAAGCCTGTGTAGCATAGTGAGCTCAGTGCTGTTTCTCATTCGTGGAGCATTCACTGATGTTAAGTGGCATAGACTATACGTACTTATGATGTCAGGGATAGGCGATTCGGGGAAGGCTTCCCGGGGCATTTGGGACTTGATCTGGGCCACAGAGGACAGGTAGGAAAATCCACAGTAATTCCAAGTGGAAAACCAAATAGAGCTCCAGTCAAGTCTGAACTCCCTTCCTTGTTCTCTCCCTCCTCTGCCTCCACCTGCCTAGGTATGACAAATACTGTGCAGACCACTTCAAAGACAACCATTGTGACCAGGGATGCAACAGCGAGGAGTGTGGCTGGGATGGACTAGACTGTGCTGCTGACCAGCCAGAGAACCTGGCAGAGGGTACCCTGGTAATTGTCGTGCTGATGCCACCTGAACAACTACGTCAGGATGCCCGCAGCTTCTTGCGGGCACTGGGCACTCTGCTCCACACCAACCTGCGCATTAAGCGGGACTCCCAGGGGGGCCTCATGGTCTATCCCTATTATGGTGAGAAGTCAGCTGTTGTGAAGAAACCGAGGATGACACGCAGGTCCCTTCCTAGTGATGAAGAACAGGAGGTGGCTGGGTAGGTTTTTGGTTTCTGAATTTCTTCAAGCTTAATTTTATAAAGCTGAGCACTTTGATACACAGAAGTCATAACTGAACCTATAAAAATGCGTACCCCAAACAGAGCAGTGTATCAGGTCAAACAAACTGATTTTCACAGTACTTATGCTTAAGGCTCAAGGTTTGCCTTGATCTTGGGATCCTGAAGGGTGGGCTGGAGCAAGCAGGAGGCAGGATGTCTGGAAGCCCTCCTCAAATGCTAGAATCTCTGTCGTTTTTCCAGTGTTGCCTCAAATCCCTTTAGTAGTGACTCCTCCTTTGTACTAATCATTGCCCTCTTTTCAAGGCCCTTCATTTGTAATATAATTCTCTTTGATGAGGGTAATAATCTCCAATTGTTTTGTCATTCATACCCCACTATTTGTTGGTATATCCCGCAACTTTCAACTCTATAGCTAGCTGAGATAGGGATGCAGAAACAAAGGAGAATAAGAACCAAAAGTATGGGGGGGTATATTTTTAGAGTAGCACTATGTGCTGCTGAGTACCTAGGAAGGGGTGAAAGACCACCACCCAACCAGGAGAGCACCGAAGTCCAGCGCTACCCAGTTTTCTCACCTTGTCCTGTGTGCCTGAGTCAGAAGGCTTAGACTCACCCAGACCAAAGCAGGTGAGACATCGCCTGAGTGGGAAGTAGTGTTTAGGATCTGAAGGGACAATATCTTAATTTCTGAGATCTTTCTGGAGGCAGCATCACAGAGATGGAAAGCGTGATGCTCAAGGTGAGGAAGGAAGGATCACATAACCCTTTCTGACTCAGCTTGCTTGACTGGCACCTTCTGTTTTACTTAGCATTTCCCTTTTTCCTCTTTCCCTTGGCATTTCACAGCTCTAAGGTATTTCTGGAAATTGACAACCGGCAGTGTGTTCAAGATTCAGACCAGTGCTTCAAGAACACAGATGCAGCAGCAGCTCTTCTGGCTTCTCATGCCATCCAGGGGACCCTGTCGTACCCTCTTGTGTCTGTCGTCAGTGAGTGGCACTGGTCTTAAGGGGAAAGTATGGGGGTGAAAGGCATCACTTGGGGGCAAAGAGAAAACATCACACTTTTCAATGTGCAGTTCTCTATTTTTCAGGGCTGGTGAGGTCAAAGCTACCCTCTAAATGAATTTGATGCGAATATTGAAAGGTCGATATTTTGTTCAGCGCTTTCCCTGTCTCTCCGCCCTTTCAGGTGAATCCTTGACTCCAAAACGCACTCAGCTTCTCTATCTACTTGCTGTTGCTGTTGTCATCATCCTGTTTATTATCCTGCTGGGGGTTATCATGGCAAAACGAAAGCGTAAGCATGGCTCCCTCTGGCTGCCTGAAGGTTTCACCCTTCGCCGAGACTCCAGCAATCACAAGCGTCGTGAGCCAGTGGGACAGGATGCCGTGGGGCTGAAGTAAGAGGGTTTGCCAACAAGCTACTGTCACAGTGGTAATGAGCAGGGATAAATCGAAAAGCAGGTCTTGTTGAATCATGTTTCTAAATTCTGAGCTCTGGCCATACCACATTATCACACTTGACCATGATTCTGAATGTCTACTGAGTGACTATGAAATAATAGTCTGGATGCTTCTATTCTATATATATTATTGCAGTGATGCTCAGCTTCTGTGTTGAGGCACACTTTTGTTGTGAGCTCTTGATCATTGGGAAAGGAAAGGATATTTTCTCAGGCGATGGGATGTAAGATACTGCCCATCCTTTGTAGGCCAAGGCGCCTGAAAGTCTGAGTATAGCCACGAGAGTGTGTCATGGTGGAAGAAGTTGAAAACCATTCTATTAGTTTGTAACATAATCTCTGCTTTTATTTTTCCCCTTCATAATTCTGTCATATCAGGAATCTCTCAGTGCAAGTCTCAGAGGCTAACCTAATTGGTTCCGGAACAAGTGAACATTGGGTCGATGATGAAGGGCCACAGCCAAAGAAAGCCAAGGTAAGCTGGCCATGGTAGAACCACCACTGTCAGCCATTAGCTGATCACATTTCAATTTGTGTCCTTTGGTATCTAGAGTGTCCCGGAAGGGAGAAAAGGGTGATAGTCTTTGTATGTTGCTTAGGCAATGACCATCCCAGGGTGTCATGAAAGGCAGGAATCTTTAGGTCGTTGATGGCCTTAGGTTACCTGTGTATGTTTTTCAATAAGAACTCTTTAAAAATAATGAAACAAACATGCTTCCTTCCTCAAGTGTCATGCTGATGGTAGTCGAATAAGGACTGATGTGTGTAAATAGCATTTCTTCATGGCTAGCTCTCTCCCTTATCGTTTCTGGACACTTTTCCTTCTGGAAGGGAAGGTGGAATTAAACAGGGAAAGAAAGCCAGTGACCATTGAGTTTGGAGGCTCTGCATCTTGAGCCCAGGAAACTAAAGCCATATGGAAGTCAGAAGTAGATTGGGCTGAAGCTGATGTGAAAAAGGAGACCATCCTTCTATCCATAGCTCTACATGGCTGGGATATGCATGTATCCCATAGATATTCTAGATTAGCTACAGAAATGAATGCTTGAAGAATGCAGGCATGTAGTACAGCATGATGGTTAGGACATTGCTTTAGTTATAATCAGAACTGGATTCTAAAACACTGCTACTTGGTAGCTACCAAATTACTTAATCTCTTTTTACTTAATTATCCGTATCTGTAAAATAGGGACAATAATAATTCTTTCCCCTGTGAGTTGTGAGGATTAAACACAATGATACATGTAAAGCGCCTTACCTATTTTCTGTCACATACTAAATATTCAATGAAGGCTAGTTGCTTTTTAAATTATAATAATAATTATCGTTCAACAAATATTTCCTGAGTGCTTGCTATGTGCTGGGCAACCTCGAACGAGTCTTGTTCCATATTCTCACGAACCTTGCGGTCTAGAGGTAGAGACTTCCATGTAGTGCCTTGGTAGCACTTAATACATAGTCAGTTAAATAGAGGTAGGCAGAGTGTGCTTTTTAGGACCAAAAAGAGGAATTAAAGTCTAATTTGTATTTGAAAAGTAGGTAAGAGTTAATCAAACAAAGAATTGGGAGAGACCATGGCAGGCAGAGGAACAACAGAGGCAAAAGCCCAGAAGCAAGAAAATGGTGCTTCGGGGTTCTATAGGTAGCATATTAGGTAGGTAATATAGGTGACATGTTAGGGCTGCAGCCTAGAGTTTGAGATGGGCGGTTGGGAGAGTTGGACAGATGATGCAGGTGAGGTAAATAGGAACCATATCACGAGGGCAGTGGGAAGCAGATGCAGTTAATAATCTGGAGGGGTAGAGTAGGAGGAGAGAGAAAGCTGGGGGGAGATTAGAAGTGGTGGGAGGCTCTGGACTAGGTCCTTGTCTGCAGTTCCTGGTGGTGGGCCAGATTGATAGGAGAGTTGTTTTCCCCTCTCAGGCTGAAGATGAGGCTTTACTCTCAGAAGAAGATGACCCCATTGATCGACGTCCATGGACACAGCAGCACCTTGAAGCTGCAGATATCCGTAGGACACCATCGTTGGCTCTCACTCCCCCGCAGGCAGAGCAGGAGGTGGATGTGCTGGACGTGAATGTCCGTGGCCCAGGTCAGCACCTGCAAGCTTCCCCTTTTCACTAGGGCATGCCTGCCCTTGGTTCTGCAGTGTTGTCCTTGTGTTGACCCCACTTAATGATATGCCCTCTGCCAATGTCACAGATTCTAAATCAGCATGAAGAAACGAATGCTTAAAGAATAGAGGCATGCAGAAATTATTAATTTACCTGAGAGGAAAGGGGAGGATTTCACATTGCTTCACATACAGCATGCTTGAGAACAGGCTGATTATATGGGATAGATTTTACTAGGATAGAAAGATAATATCCCCAATCAGAAGGCTAGAGAATTAGTTTAGTTGACACCTGAGTGCATATAGTTCTGTTAATATTGGATATTTCAAATTGTTGTCCAATTCAAAATAACATAGCACTTAGAAACTTGAAGAGAAAAGCTTGTTTACTTAGAAAAGATCCCCCAGCTTAAAATGACTCTTACTTTCCCTTTACTCTTTACAGAAGGGACAATATCAGAGGAAAAGTAGGTGCCAAATGTAAAATGAATTGCCAATTAGGAACCACAGGGATTTTTTTCCCCCATAAGAAGAACTTTACTCAAATTGAACTTTTCCAACAATAGAGTTAATTGAACATTAATGTCCTTCTCCTCTTTGAATACTTTTTGGAATTTTCCTTTCCTGTAGATGGGTGCACTCCACTGATGCTGGCTTCTCTCCGAGGAGGCAGCTCAGATATGAGTGATGAAGATGAAGATGCAGAGGACTCTTCTGCCAACATCATCACAGACTTGGTCTACCAGGGTGCCAGCCTCCAGGCCCAGACAGACCGGACTGGTGAGATGGCCCTGCACCTTGCAGCCCGCTACTCAAGAGCTGATGCTGCCAAGCGTCTGCTGGATGCAGGTGCAGATGCCAATGCCCAGGACAACATGGGCCGCTGCCCTCTCCATGCTGCAGTGGCAGCTGATGCACAAGGTGTCTTCCAGGTAAAGAACATGAGAAGAGTTGGTTCCTTTTGGATCTATAATGTTTTATCTTTGTTAAGACACTTAATATCCCATTATATTTGTTCAATAATTCTTTGAGAGAATAAGGCAGTTAGTAGAGTCATGCTTGCTAGACGGAAAAGCAGGAAAAGTGAGGCAGGCAAACTGACTTAACTCTGTACAGCCAGATAGTGATAGAACCAACAGCAGATAACACAAGTCTTCTGATTCTTAATCACTGTTCTTTTCGATGTGCAAAATGCCTCCCAAATGAATGGATCAGATAGGAGTCTTACCTGTTATAAAGCCTTTGACTAGTGCCAGCTTCTCTCTGTAAATTTATCTGACCATATGGGCTTCCAGCTGCTCCTTGGTGGTTTTCTTGACGTGAGTTCACAGTGTACTCCTTGAGGCCCTTTTATTTTACCCTTACGAGGAAATTGAAAGTATTCTGAATCAGCTTAAACTAACGCCATAATTGAAATTATGGTGTTTTCCCACACCTCCTTCTTTCTTTAGAAAGTAGAAATACATCACTTTACATGAGCCATTGTCTCTTGAGCATCCATTTATTTGTACTTTCATTCAACAAATATTTATTGATTGACCATGGTAGAATTTTGGGCACAAAGATAACGAGACATTCCGTCCCTTCCAGGCACTTACAGTGTAGCTTCAGCTCTGATGCTTTTGTTTCTTTTCTTAGCTTCATGATTTTCCTTAATCCAGGTGACTCTGTTTTCTGTACGTTCTCCTCTTCTAGATTCTGATCCGCAACCGAGTAACTGATCTAGATGCTAGGATGAATGATGGTACCACACCCCTGATCCTGGCTGCCCGCCTGGCTGTGGAGGGAATGGTGGCAGAACTGATCAACTGCCAAGCAGATGTGAATGCAGTGGATGACCATGGTAGGGACAAAAGGCAGGGATTCAAATTCTCCCCTGAAAAGCATGCCTCTAAGGAGGAAAATTGTTACACGATCCTTAAAGAACTGTCTCAGATCTGAATCCACTGAAGATTAATTCATTAATTCTTCCTTTTCGACATATTGAGTTCAGAGAACTGGACCAGTGGGAAGTCCATAGATGAAGATGGGAAGGGATCTTTAGTGAGGGTTCTTGGTCCTCAAAGCAGGTCTGTGAAAGGTAGATCGCATAGATTTCCTGTGTAGATTCCCAGCGATACCACTCTTGATACGAGGACTTATGAGAGCTGACTTCACTCGGGGGGTTGTCGGAGATCCTGAATACACAGTCTGACATGTAATAAATAAATAGGTTGTTGTCTTCAGTGTGTGATTGGTAGATCCTCCAATGGTCGATTCTGCCATGTGGAGGATGTGGGTACCGTAGACAAGTGGTCCTTTACACAGAGGTTTTCTGAAGGCCAGCCAGCCTGTAGAAGTATTTCTAGAACAGAGGAACAAGAAGATAACACTTAGGTTTTTCCTATGGGCCTTCACAGAGAACTGGCTTTCTGTTGCTCTTTGGGAAGTTTAAGGTTTTCTTGTATAAGTTATGATGTTTCCTTCTACTAGGAGTAGCTCACGTCCTTCTAAACTCTTGTCTGCTTATAAAAATGTTCTTCCTTGCAGGAAAATCTGCTCTTCACTGGGCAGCTGCTGTCAATAATGTGGAGGCGACCCTTTTGCTGTTGAAAAATGGGGCCAACCGAGACATGCAGGACAACAAGGTACAGTCTGGGCTCTGAGCTGGAGGGCAGGCATGGCAGCGCCTCAGATTAGAAGGCCTTCCCTTTTGTCCTGTAGCTCCTCCTGTGATATGTGTAGACAAAGATGAAGGCAGGTTGGAAAGGAAGTTGGTCCAGAGAGCTTGAGGAAGGGTGTTGGGCTTCTCCAGAGCAGTGTCAGGATGGAGCCCTCTGTCTGCTCAGCACTCAGTCTCAACCGGGCTGTGCTGTAAATAACTGGCGTGGCCTTCTCCGCCTCTCTTTTCTCTGACATTTCTCTTCTCCTGCTCTCAGTTCCGTCCACACTCACTTCCTTTTCTCCTGTGTGTTTTCATTTTTTCCCACTGCTCTTTTCTCTCCTGTTGGACACCATGATGTTTTCCTCTTTACTTTTCTTCCTGAGTTTTATGTCAGGCTTCCCCTCTCTCACTCATCTTATCTTGTCTCATTTATTTCGTCTGTTCCCTTATTTTAGTTCTTTCTTGAACACGTTTTATCTCTTCTTCTTTTTATTTTCCCTTATTTTTGCCATTTCTCTACATGCTCTAGGTTCTTCCCCTCCTACCTGTCTTATTTCTAACTCTTTTTCCTCTTAAAACCCTATTTCGGTGAGCTCAGTGCTCTTTTAAGTGACTCTCTGGCCCAGTGGCATGTTTAATTTCATACATTCCCCATTAAGGTGATAACATCCTCAATGAGGGAAAATTGATTGTTGAGGAGGTGCGAAATCATCTTACTCTTTTGTATATAAAATGCAGATATCCATTCAGTACATGGGTAGATATACAATTTATCTGTGGTATTAAAATTTCATGTGGGAGGGAGTTAGGAAAAAAATGTCTAAGGGAATGATAATAACAAAAAGATTGAGAAACTGCTGTATTCTCAAGAACGTTATTAAAATGTGCTCTATCTGGGCCTTTTCTGCAGGAAGAGACACCTCTGTTTCTTGCTGCCCGGGAGGGGAGCTATGAAGCAGCCAAGATTCTCTTAGACCATTTTGCCAATCGGGACATCACAGACCATATGGATCGTCTTCCTCGGGATGTGGCTCGGGACCGCATGCACCATGACATTGTCCGCCTCCTGGACGAGTACAATGTGACACCAAGCCCTCCAGGCACTGTGCTGACTTCTGCTCTTTCACCTGTCATCTGTGGGCCCAACAGATCTTTCCTCAGTCTGAAGCACACCCCAATGGGCAAGAAGCCTAGACGGCCCAATGCCAAGAGTGCCATGCCCACTAGCCTCCCTAACCTTGCCAAGGAGACCAAGGATGCCAAGGGTAGTAGGAGGAAGAAGTCTCTGAGTGATAAGGGCCAGCTCTCTGAGAGCTCAGTGACTTTATCCCCTGTTGATTCCCTAGAATCTCCTCACACATATGTTTCTGACACCACATCCTCTCCAATGATTACATCTCCTGGAATCTTACAGGCTTCACCCAACCCTATGTTGGCCACTGCTGCACCCCCTGCCCCAGTTCATGCGCAGCATGCACTCTCTTTCTCTAACCTTCATGAGATGCAGCCTTTGTCTCATGGGGCCAGCACTGTGCTGCCCTCAGTGAGCCAGCTGCTGTCCCACCACCACATTGTTCCCCCAGGCAATGGCAGTGCAGGGAGCTTGGGTAGGCTACATCCAGTCACTGTGCCAGCAGATTGGATGAACCGCATGGAGATGAATGAGACCCAGTACAATGAGATGTTTGGTATGGTCCTGGCTCCAGCTGAGGGCACCCACCCTGGCATAGCTCCCCAGAGCAGGCCACCTGAAGGGAAGCATATAACTACCCCTCGGGAGCCCTTGCCCCCCATTGTGACTTTCCAGCTAATCCCCAAAGGCAGTATTGCCCAGCCAGCTGGGGCTCCCCAGCCTCAGTCCAACTGCCCTCCTGCTGTTGCAGGCCCCCTGCCCACCATGTACCAGATTCCAGAAATGGCTCGTTTGCCCAGTGTGGCATTCCCCACTGCCATGATGCCCCAGCAGGATGGGCAGGTTGCTCAAACCATTCTGCCAGCCTATCATCCTTTTCCAGCCTCTGTGGGCAAGTATCCCACACCCCCTTCACAGCATAGTTATGCTTCCTCGAATGCTGCTGAGCGAACACCCAGTCACAGTGGTCACCTCCAGGGTGAACATCCCTACCTGACACCATCCCCAGAATCTCCTGACCAGTGGTCAAGTTCATCACCCCACTCTGCTTCTGACTGGTCAGATGTGACCACCAGCCCTACTCCTGGGGGTGCTGGAGCAGGTCAGCGGGGACCTGGGACACATATGTCTGAGCCACCACGCAGCAACATGCAGGTTTACGCATGAAAAAGTCTGCCTCCAGTTTAGGGACAGAACTGCCTATTGTAAATGCTGCTGAGGAACAAATGAAGGTCATCCGGGAGAGAAATGAAGAAATCTCTGGAACCAGCCTCTGGAGGCAGAAGAGAGGAGATGCTCTTACCTTTTAGATAATGCAAGGGAAGCAATTTTATCAGCTTCACTGGCTATATGCAGAGTTTTGTAGGGGAGAGACATGGCTCCTTCTAGTCTCTTGCCCATCAAGCCAAGTTCATGGAAATGCAAGATGAATACAAGACTTGGGACCATGTTTACTCTCTTCTATTTGGAGACTAGGATGGATGGATGCCTGTTGTAGCCCAGACAGTCTTGCAGCTTAGACTGCATTTTAAGCCCTGGGGGCTTCTGCCATATCCATGAGAAGATTCTATAGTAGAGTCCTACTGGGAACTGTGCCCTGGAATTCTGCCTGAGTTGAGTTATCTCATCTTCTCATCCTTGGAAATTCTTTTGACTTCATTTGGTGCTTTAATTTTTGCACCTTTCTATGGTTGTAGCCACACCAGCATGTTCTAGGGCAAGACCTTTGTGCTTTTACTCATTCCTGCTCTGGAAAGCAACTTCAGCCTCCTTTTTCCCCTCCTCCTTTCCCAGTGCCCCTAGGAGTCTCACAGGGTTTACTTTGGTTATGGTTCTCAGCATAAACCTTTCAGGTATGTTTCTTTAGAAAATGGACCTATTATACTCTCCTACATAATAGGACTCCCAGAAGAAGAAGGGAGCAAAATATATTTCTTCGAACCCATTTTGGGGACAGGAGACCCCTTCAAGAGGCTGCACCTTAATTCTCTTGCCTGCATGTGGGGCTTCATATAAACCTTACTAGAAAGAAGGATAAAAATTGGTTGTTTTCCATTTGTGGGCCTAGTCAGGGTGACATCTTTTCCTTGGCACCATAGGTACTGTGACCTCCTTACAAAAACAAACAGACAGACAAAGGTTTGGAATGTTGGAATGACCCAGAGATAAGCTAACTCATGCAAGAAGTGGTTACCCACTGACAGGTCCCCCCCTTCCCTTCCTGCCAAGCATTCCATTGACTGCCAGCATGAAGCACATTTGTTCCCAGAGCTTAGAACCCTCGGCCTGCTTCACTCACTCATCCAGCAGGTGAAGCTAGTCCTAGCTGTTGAGCTTTTCCTTCCATCTATCTCCACAGAAGAAAATGTCTGAGACGATATTCCCTTGCCATTTAGAACTGAACCTTCCTCAGCTCAAGGGACCCCATGACAGTCGCCCTCCCTTCATCAGGTGATCACTGTCTCTACTTCTTGATTCTCTTTCTGATCAAAGGCCTGTTTACCAGTCTTCCCTCCACATTGTATGGTCTGAGTTACTGGTACACCCAGTAGGTTCTCACCGCACACATGGATTTTCTATGTTCAAGTGCAGGAAATAGAAAGTTGGCCTCGTTCTCTAGGGTCCAAGCCAGCCCTATAAGAAGGTTGGAAAGGGAGGAACTATGAGGCAGCCTTTGCTATTTTTTGCTACCTTTTCTTTTCCTTTGAAGCAGTCATGACACTGCTGTTTAGGCAATTAACAAAGACACTTATCAGGACACTTCCCTTTCCTAGTGTCACCTTCTAGATGATAATGGACAATTTCAGACTCACCGTCTTTCTCATCCTCAGGTTCAGATTGTGATTGCATCTCACCTGAGTCTCCTCTCTGTATCTGTGATCTTGGTAACTGCCTTGACCCTCTGTCAAGGGCAGAAGCATTCCAGTCATCACTAGAAATAGGAGGAGAATAGCTTTCTTCCTCTTCTCCCTGAGTCTGCTGATAATTGGTCCTGTGGTCACACTGTCACTTCTCCCTGTGCTATGATGTCATGAAACCTGGAAAATTAGTTCTGCCGGGCCCTTTTGTAGATATTAATAGTTAAATTCCCTACTCTGTTTTGGTTTGAATGATAGTCTTCATTCCCATTGGCTGGGAGTGTTTCTCAGTGCTTCTCACTTACCTGATTTATCTGTCTATGGCCCTATATGGAAACCCTGTGTGTCTGTTAGCATGGCAGTCTACAAATGGTTTTTTGTCTTGCCCAAGTTCATTTAACCAACAAAAATAATTAGTTCTGCCCTGACGTAAGCAGATTGTTCATTCTGTGTTTTATTCTCTCACATGGCAGCTCCAGCAGCCCCTTTCATGGTGTATGACATTTTATCATTCTAAATGGTGATTCTCTATCCTTGGACCCATTTGTCAATTCACAGATGGGGAGAACCTATCTGCATGGACCACTGTGGACCCCACCACATCTGACCCTCTCTGTCATCCTGTTCCAGCCCCACATCCTGAAAGTATCAGCCTCTAATCCAGCAGCTTGGATCGTTTATAGCCTCTCCCCTCCCTGAGCTCAATGTAGGCCTAACTTGCTTGCTTCTCCTTCTTGGGATCCTTGGGTTTTGGGGAAGGGAATGTGAAAGCTGCCATTACAGACAACAGGCTTCAGTGATGAGAAGGAAGACACTGCCTTTCGAGCATTTATCAATCTCCTACATTTTAAGAGCCCTTGAGTGTATAGAATCTAATAAAAGAGAAGGTAAGACGGAGAATCACTTTCTCATTTGGGTTCAGAATTGGAGACTAGGTTTTTATGGAACACATCTTTTATGCCGTCTATAGGTCATCCCCCCCCATTTTTGGTTTATTTTTATTTTTATAAGTTTTTTCCTTTGACTCCTGTCTGTCTGGGGGATAGATGTTTTGTTTAATTGTTTGTTTTTTCTGTTTTGTGTTAAGCATCGTTTTCTGACTTACATGATGGTGAGCGAGGGAGAGGTTTGAGGGAAAGGGAGACTGAGAGTTAAAGATTTTAATGTAAGCAATCAGCTAAGATGCTCAAGTCCATTATGTCATCCTTTATTAAATTTGCTAGTTCACAATTCTTGCATAGAAAAGAACCAAATCTGTAATGTTTCGTTGGCAGATGGTTTGGGGATTTTGGCCTTAACCAGTACGTTGAATGTATGATGACTGAGAGGACACGTTGATGTGCCCTGAGACTCCCACTCGTAACTGTCTGGTACTATGGTTCCTTCCTTGTGTACATTTCCCTTAAAAGTGATATTATATCTGTTTGTATGAAAAACCCAGTAACCAATAAAATGACTGCGTATTCCTAACTATACATAGTAAGGAAAACGCACACTTTGTTTTTACTTTCAAAGTTTCATTCTAAAAGTAGTTAAGATGAAATTTATATGAAAGCATTTTTATCACAAAATAAAAAAGGTTACATGTCAAGTTCAGTGGCACTGCAGTTTTTATTTTCCTTTCCTGTATCCCCGGTCTCACAATGATCTAGCTCATGGGGTCGTGATTTGCTGAGAGAGAAAGCATTTTCTTTTCACTCTGAATCCCACAAAGCCTAGCACTAGGCTTCTTTTTTTCTTTCTCCAGTTGGGTCATTAATAAATGCTTTTGAGGAAAAAGCTTTTGTCAGATAGGAAGCATTGCAGGACTGAGTCACTTCTCTGTGCACTGGCTGGTGACAGGTGGACAATTGCTCAAGACAAAGTGCCTTCCACTGGAAATGGAGAGTGTTTGCTAAAGCCAGAACTGAGGATTGGGATGTAATTAAAAATATTGATGGTGCTGTTACTTAAACCATTAATTTGCAATATTATTCCTCAAATTTTGTGTAGAACTTAACATATGCAATTATAAAATATCATTTTGCATATAAATATGTTACCAAGTTTGTTCCTACGTTTGCTTTTTTTAAAGTCAATTAGTGAGACATTTGAACATAAATATTTGACTTTTGTGATCTGTATGGCATCAGCAGTCTTATATCTACATGGAGTTCATTTCCAGATTCTATTAGCAGAAACTTCTACAACACACATGCATAATTCTAAATGGTAGCAGTATTTTTTAAATGACTTGACTTAAATTCTCAGGATATGTTTCAGTTAAGCAGATGAAGGAACCTTATTCAAGATCTGCACAAATATGTTTTAACACAACTGGTAACACATTGGTTATCCTGAGAGTGTTGTAATTTTAGATAAGACACATTTGAGTCCTCATGTTGGGTTTTGTAATGGTGTAAAAAGATTGAACTTGAGAGCTAAGGAATGACTCACCAGTCTGGTCCTCTGTAGGCTGGCCTCTCAGAGCTGGAGTTGCCTCTTCAGGCTACTTGGGAACTAAAACTTGCCCCAGGGAAATCTGCTTTGGTGGGTCTGTGCTGCAGACCACTGGGCCGCTGACCACATCCTAGCCCTGCAATTGCAAGACTAGAAACCTAGCCCTTGATTGCGTGTGGAGGATCCAGGGCTCTCCCAGTCATGAAATCCAAGGATGGAGAGCAGGGCTGGAGGCCAAGGGCTGCCACATCACACAGCTGGAACAATAGACTTGGACACCAGGCCATGGTCATGCCAGGGGAGGGACTGATGCTTCCCCCAGTGATGCAGCTAAAAATCCTCATAGCCCAAGGAGAGGGGGCTGAGTTCCTCTTTCAGAACGTGATGAGTAGAACAATCATCCTGAATGCCCGCATACGGTCCAGGATGTGATGGACAATGGGGGAACTGCGAACCTGTTACTTCCTCTGCCTCTGTAAGTGCTCCCAATAAACACTGCTCCAGACCAGCTGTGTGAGTGGTCGAGTCACAGTGGTGAGTGGTCGAAAAGGGAATACAACTTTTTCTTCTTTTGACTTAGAGCTTAGCAAAACACATTTAAAACATTTGCACTGGTCAAGTCCCAACTGCAAAGTGTGGGCAAACTCAAATTAGGATAATTCAGGAAGAGTTTATTTACAAAAGAACTAATTATGAAGTGTGTGTGTGAGGTGTAGGGGAACTCTAAGGGGCAGTGCAGGAAGCCTGGCTAGCACCAGCAGAGCTGTTACCACCCCTCGGTCCAAAGGGCTGAAGGCTGGGAGAGGTTACCGGAACCTGGAAGGAGAAAGTCTTGCAGAGTAACTTACGTCAAGAAGAGCTGTGACTTCTGTCAGGGAACACAGTGAGCCCCAGGTCCCCTCACAATGAAGAAGCCAGGGAATGAATACCGTGATCTCATCTCCACCCACTTCCACCCTGGACTTTCCATTTGCTGAATCCAAGTGGAAGTCTGAAAATACAGGAGCCCATTGGATTTGATCCATTGATACAGGTCAGCTTCCGGGGACAAAGAGCTTGGTGGAGAAAGGAAGAAGGTGGGTCTGAAGGTGCAAACACGTCATTATCCAAAACATTCTCACTCCAACCATAGCATTTCTAAAAGACTTCTCCTGACAGCCTGCCATTGATGTGTCAAGGCAGGAAACAAAGTAAAAGGAATTATGTATTCATAATCCTGACTTAACTTCTTTTCCAGATCTACTAGTGTGTTTCATCATCACTTTGGCTTTAAGTACCCAAACTGAAGACAGTCATCAGCAGTAGGATGGATAACTTATGGTATCTTCATTCAGTGGAATACTGTAAAGAAATGAAAAAGAACAAAATGCAACAATATGAAGAATTGTCATTGACATACTGTTGAGCAAAATAAGCCAAACACAAAAGAAGACGTTCTATATGATTCAATTATATAATTCAGGATAAAAAAAAAAAAAAGGTAAATAGAGAACTGAATAGTGGGTACTTTTTTGGGAGAGGGATCTTGACTGAGAAGAGGGCAAGAAAAATCTTTCTGGAATCTGGAAATATCCATGGTGATTACATGAATGTATACATATGTAAAATTTACTTAAGATTTGTGCATTTTACTTATGTAAGTTACACTGCTGTAAAATATATAATAGTAAACAGAAATGTAGAAACACTATTATAAAATTATATATAATTTATAATAGATAATTTCTTTATTTCTCCCTGCTTCCTCCTCTTCTTCCTCCCTCCTCCCTTTCCCATTTACTTGTTTGCATAAATTTGGTTTGTGGGGATTATTTTATTCTTAAAAATATTGTTATTTGCAATAGTTTATCCATGAAGAAAATATATTTTCAAATTCAATTATATAAAATATAGGACTGCATAATTGCAAAGTTAATAAATGAGTGAGGGGAGTCAGCTGTTGGCTAGCTGAGTAGGCGTTCTGGAGCTGGGCTGGATAATCCATATCGCTCTGGGTCCTGGCTGCTATTTGGCACTACCTGGTAGCCCTTGTCTGCTTCAGCATAAACATGTTTCGGTTGATTCTGGGTTCTGTAATCTGGCTGGGATTTGCAAGACCTCATTGTAAATCATCACCTGCTTCATATGCCTATTTCAGACAATTTAGGCAAGGCAAATACTAGACGTAGGGACTCAGCTCCTGGCTCTCTCTAATGGAATTGTCTCATGTTTCTCTCTCTCTCTCCTCCATGATCCCTTTCCCTTGACTCCTGGAAAAAGGTTTAAGAACATGGTCCTGACAGAGGATACGCACCAGCCACTATGTCATATCAGAATCTGTGTTCCTATGGTTACTGCAGGGTTTTACATAGAAGAATTGGTAAGGAGAAAGAGAAGCTATCTGCATCTGAGATCAATAAGACTATATACCTGGGCAACCCAAGAAAACTTACTGAAAAACTACCCTAAACCATTCAGAATTCAATAAATAAAATGATGTAAAACTAATTCATAGAAAAACCTTTGTTATAAACGAATACCAACTGGGCGATGTAATTGAAGAAAAAACCACATTTAAAATAACAAACACACACACACATTTCCCCCCAATGTACACACAGTAATAACCTTTAAAAAAACTCCTAACTGCAAATATTACCAAATACCCCCTACTCCTGAAAACTTGAGTGATGCTGCTGCTTTATCAATTACAGCTTTAGCTCTGCTCTATTCTTCCCACCTGCTAGATAAAAATCATAAATATATCTGATCATGCCCACAACTTAGATAAAAATTCATTAAGATACTCAATTCTTTGAATCCATCTCAATACCATCTAACACAACTCCAAATCCTATAATAAGCCCTTCCTGACACCCACTTACTGAGATACCCACATTTCCCCCTGGTGTGCAGTTTTCCCTGCTGCAAAGAGCATCAATAAATCCATCTTTGTTTGACTTGCAGAGGTGCTCCTGGTGGTCTTTGAAAGATATCAGCAGGGCCCTGTGCTCAAACTCCAAAACAGAAAAAAATCCCGTTTTCACACCCTGTTATATACAGAGCACTGACTGTAACAGTAAGAGTTCATGAATTTATTTCAAGAATATCTGGAACATTCACAAAAATTGAACGTATATGAAGCCATTATAAAATCTCAGAGAAAGTTTCAAAGAATCAGTATCATACAGACAGTTATCTCTGAACACAACACTATCAAATTAGAAACAAAAATAAACATGTAACCAACATACTTATATGTATGCAAATTTTAAAAACTTATAAATAAGTCAGTTGTTAACACAAATATGTTAGAAGATATTTAGAAACTGCACAAAAATACTTATCCAATAGTACCACTGTTTTTGAAATACTAATTATTAAAACTTATGGAAAGCAACTAAAGTTTTAAGTGGAGAAACTTTAGCCTAAATGCTTATATTACAGCAGAAAGACTGAATCAATAACCTAAGCATTTTATAGAAGAAATTAGACAAAGAACCACAGACTAAATCCAAAGAAATAGAAGGTAGGAAATTATCAAGATAAACAGAAATTAACTCACTGAAAAAAAAGTAATAGACGCAATGAAGTATTTAGTAAAATTAAATCTTCATGATAAAAATTATGAAATATAATAGCAAATTAGAAACAGGGACTTCCCCAAACTACTAAAGGCTATCTACCACAATCTATGGCAAACATCATACTTGATGAGAGTATAAATTTGTTTCCTTTAAAGTTAGGTATAATGTAGATGCCAGCTCTCATATGTTCTATTCAACTCAGTCTGGAAATTCTAGTTTCAGCCAGGAAAGAAAAACAAAAACAGTCATTGCTTATACACCATCTGGTAACGTACATAAAAAGTCCAAGAGAATATATAAACTGTTAGAACTCGTGGCCGTTAAAGAAGACAGGGGAAACAAACAAACGAAAACACAGACTCTTTCCTGTTAACAGTTAGTTGACTCCAACCAAATGGTGAAGGAAATTAAATACACTCTGGCTGTAGGGTACAGGAATCTATCTACCCATGTCAGGTGAGAACGGGGACATTAAAGGGGATAGATTTATAGACCTCTGTTGACCTAACGGAGGACACTGGAGGAAAAAAATGGGTCCAGCAGTTCCATCTGTACCTCAGGAAGAATCATCCTGGAAGCATGTAGC